CATCAAGAATTGCTACCCCTTGGTAGCAGAAGTAAATGGGATGCTTAATGCGATGTACTTGCGCTGCGGAGAGATCATGCTTTATATTATAATCTAGAAATCCTATTATGTTTATTCGAATATCTACAGCATTGGTCCTCGAATATCTAACATGATTGTGTAGGACACCAGTATCGTTAACAATTCCCGTACCCCAAAGCCACAACTCTGATGATCCGCTGTTCTAACATAGCTTATCAGCAATGAACGTGCCGAGCATCACAAAGATCGAGTCTATTGCATCATGTAGCAACAGGCGAAATTGATTGCAGAGCTCGCAAATGACTCAAGGATATAGGTGCGCGCCACCGAAACATGGCAGAAAGCCGCAAGTTCCAGGGCTCCCACGATGGAAACATGCACAAGGTAGAATACCTGCTGTCTGGACTTGGCAGAAGTCGGTTTCAACCAGCGTACCCAGCGAGGCATGGCTGCCGGACGAGCAAAGAGAGCGACCGCGCCTACCATGGTGGCAGCAGCGATACCCCACTGGACATCAGAATCCCAGATACGTTTCGCAAAGAGCGAGCCGAAGTCAGGGTGGCTCGACTGCAGGAAGAAAGAATCGTACATGACAGCGTGGGCGATGAGCAGCGGCGCAAGAACGATCCGACCAAATAGACGATGGTAGGCGTTGATGGTCGGCTGCGGAACGGATGTGATAACCGACACGACGGACGGTGATCCTGGTGATGGACTCATGTACAGGGACGGTGACATGAGCACCTGCAAGGGGAGCTGGGAGAGGCTGACATGGGCTAGAGCTTTGGTAAAGTGAAGGTAATCTGTTTACATCAACAATAATTTAGCTTTCGTCTCCACGATGTGGGTGATATAAGAATATGAGACAACTGGATTGTTGTAGTTCGCGGGAGCTTAGATGAACACAAAGTGTAGATTCTGGCAAATCGGAGCCCAGACAAATGTAATCCTATGCCCCAAGCTCGACCATCTCGGGTACTAGTAGTATCAGGAAATATCATAGAAAATATTGACCCACCTTCACCAGAATTCCAGATGCAAAGACTCAGAAGCCAGCCAAGCCAGATGAGACAGACGATGTATTGTCTTCGGGTCTCCATCCAGCCAGCAACTGGGGGCGTATCCAACCATGATTTCTCCAAGTTCTTTCGCCGCGAGCGCCTCTCGGCTGGCTTTTCGGAGCCAGGAGCTTCACTAAAGGATTTCTTATATACTCGAACCAGAACAAGAGCAACCAACACCGAGCACTGCGCGTAGAATCCACGTAAATCCAGAAGCTCCCGACGTTGCTGCTTCTCAGCGTCTGTGAGAGACGTGAAATGCCACGGCCAAGAAAACGACATTGTATTCACGGCTGCGGATAAATAAACCAACAAGATTGAGAAATGAGGCGTCTTAGCAACGTCAATGGCGGTTAGAGATATTGAGCAACCTCTCAGACTCAGGAATCACACGTGGACTAAAGATTAAATAGACGGATGCCTGGCTTACACCGACGGCTTTACGGAAGTAGCGCATCCTAGGCCCTCGGGATCACATGATACTGAATGGGATCTACCAAGTCGTTTGCTGCTTCTAATCAGCGTTTCTCATGAAGTAGCACTTGCGTGCTACACATTTGCGATTACATTTTTCGGGAAACATAAGAGAGAAATTTTTGCAGGAGGGTTGATCGTGGACCAAAAGAATCTACATTTAGAACGCCATGAGCATTTCGTACCAGTCAGACGCTCTGACTATTTCTAAGTTTGACAAAACTGAATTCCACCCAAATTAGTGCGAGTGCCGTTGATATTATTCCCACTCACACCCAAGGTGCTTTGCATCAACAAGCAGGTGCTGGCCTACGCCGAGTTGGGAAAGTAGCCTACGGTGAAGTCTGCATGACTTCCTCGTGGCCGCCTGCGGCAGTCGTTGCGAAGTACCGAACATCAACGTCTTCATCCTCCTGCAGCTTCTCCAAGCTGGGGAGGATTCTTTGCTGGATGAGGTCCTGACCCCGCGGGGATGGCGTGGCAGTTTTACCTGCCTTCTCCAGGTCTGTGAGGGTTCCCTCTGTGGGGAGGCGACGCAGGGTATCGATCAGCACGGCATAAGACTTGGCCACATTGAAACGGATGTTAGGGATCTCATCCGAGACAAGTCGATCCAAGATGGGGAGAATCGAGTTCTCGATGATGTCCAGAGAAACAACGGGTGCGAGAGTCTGAATAAAGTTAGCAGGGCAATGTCTGTAGGAGCGATCAATCAACATACGGAGATGGCAAAGCATGTTGTCATTCTGTACAGGTAGTTGGTGTGTTGACCCATCCCCATCACCTTGGGGATGATAGAGCCCTTAGCCCAGTCGACACCAAACACTTCCGTCAGCTTCCTCAGATTTTGAGTAGCAGCCTCGCGAATGGAGAAAACTGTATCACCGAGCCAGCCCATGCAAAGCTCGCTGAGCTGTTCGTCGAAGAATTTGACTCCCAATTGGCTTGCAAGCAGGGGAATGTATTCGATAATCGCGAGACGCACTCTCCATTGCTTGTCTTCGGCCAGCTGGACAATAGCCGGGAGAAGTGACTGTGAGAGAAGATCGATGCCGATAACTACAACAATTAGATTATGTATGCTTTATTAAAAACGCGAGTTGTTCGTCTCACCTTTGTTAACCAATTCCAGCTTGGAGATGATATGAAGGCGGACATCGGGGAACTCGTCCTTGAGCATCTGCAAAAACATCGGGAGGAGGTGCGCAATAGTCCTGAACATGACCTGTAAGTAAGCTGGTTAAACGGCGTCTGCGAATCGGTGATACTGACTCCTCCTTTCCGAGTATCGGTGCAAGACCGCTGATCTGAGTACCAAGCGCGGCGCGCACATGCTGAGATGGATCAGAGACAAGGTCTTCCACGCTAGTCATGATTTCGTTGAGCAATGTGTCTCGGTCAATCAGATTGCAAAAGCCTAACGCCGGTTAGCCATGGTAAGAGCCTAAAGTAGGCGAGAATCATACCTGGAATCTGTCCAGCAATGGCAGTACGGACTTCGGCTTCGGTGTCCTTCAGAAGCTTGACAAAAGAGGGAACCATATCACGAGTTACGACCTCTTCGTGCACAGCTTTAGCGATCTACCAACGAGGTCAGAAAGGCACAACACACGGCGGAAGGAGCATCGTCAGGACAGAAGATACCTTCTCATATCTATCAGCAACCATGTACCTGACTCTCCAACTCTTGTCCTCAAACAGGTTGCGCAAGGAGGTCAAAAGAACACCATGGCTGGGCTGCTGCTCCTTGGGGATCTCTTCCGCGATCGAGATGAGAACATCCACTGTAAGCAAGCGGACACTGTCCTGCTCGTCTGTTGCAAGGTGCTGAAACAGGGGTATCATCTCTTCGATAACGATTTGGGTATTCAATTCTTTGATAAACTTCGCCAAGTTGTTGCCCGACTGTCTCCTCACCATCGGTGTGTCATCATGTACGAGGCCTCCGTAGTATTGCCGAAGGGTCTGCTGTGATGAGGGAGAAGCCTTCCTATACGGAACACAGTACAGGCCGGTCGCGGAAACCTTCGAGGTGAACCAGTCGGCTTTCGACAGGCGTAGGACCATCGGGATGAAATTCTCTTCGATCTGCTTCTCGGACAACTGCTCGCCGATATTATTGAGGGATTCCACAGCCTGAAACAATGAATGTCAGCACGAAGGGAGAGTACCACAAAAAAACGGTTGCGGCTCTCTAACCTTTTCTCTGACCAAAGGCTCTTCAATAGCGGCCAAGTTCTCGAGCGGAGAGAGGAGTACATGCCCGTACTCCGGACCCCCGACATACTCTATGAAATTACCCAGCTCTTCACTCAGTGCAGTCAAAACCTCATCTTCATCCTCGACGGAATCTATGGCGCAAGAGTTAGGGGAAACATTTTGACCAGAAAGCTATCCTTCTTGCGTTGACGGTACTAACCATCAAGGAAAGGGATAAGTTCTTCCCGGGTCCGCTCGGGCCCTAAGGCCAAAGCGATAGTAGACAGACGGTGGATGGCATTGAGGCGGAGGAGTACATCGTCATGCTGTGACATTCTCAGGATCAGGACTGCCGATGTTCGTGCGTCAGGGATAGGACGACCACGAGGGCAACTATACCTTCAACTCATCAATAAGGACGGCGATAGGGTAAAGCTCGTCGTTCTCTCCTTGGCCCTCCATTGCGAAAATGATGTATGAGTGTGAGGTTGAATGTTAGGGAAATACGCAGAGAGGCAAGGATGTGACCGGTCCAAGTCCTCGTTCAGGCTACGATCCGACCCGCTCGCACGCGAACACGACGAATATTTCCTAGGAAGAAAGGCAATCCGGCAAAAGGGGGCGGGAATATCGTGAAGAGGAAGGAGGATGCTAAGAACCTATACAAAGGTGAAAAGGTATCAAGTTAGCGGGGGGGAAGTGTGGTGGGAGGGAGAAGGAGATAGTAGAGGGTGAGTTGAGAACCCCGGAGCGAGGTTTCGTGGGGTTTGGGCCGCCGCAGGACACTTGAGCAACAACAGCAGCAGCAAGAACATCATTATCATACCTCGACAATTGGACCGGGACCAAACAGGGATTATGGTCCAATCTAAGATTATCGTGAAAAATAAAAGACCCCCGTATATGATGCGACAGGGGTTTAGAATGGAAGACTTGTGAGCAGTGATATCAAGCTAATCCGTGGAGGGGGGGGGGATTGCGAAGGTGACGAGATGGGCTTGCTGGAGAGGTTGCTTTGGACTTGTTGGAGGCCGGACTGTGGCTGGTGAAGGGGAGAGCGCAAGCAGGCGGTGTACTGTCCCGTACGGAAGTCCGAGTCCGGTGAGGTTCGAACCACCAAGCAAGAAAAAAAGGAGGGGTGATGGCCTTGTGGCGGTGCGCTTTCAGTGGCTTTGCCCGCCGCCCTCACAGAGGGTCAAGCCCCAACGGGGAACAAAAGACTTTATGACTCCGACTAGACTAACTGTAGAGTTACCCAAACGGTGGCATACTGTCCGATTGAAGCCCAGCGCTCTTGTTGCCCGTCCTCTTTTCCCCCCCGCTGATTACTTGCGGTTGACCTCGTGGTGGGACTTACACAGACTATCCATCTCCTCAGGCAGTCTGTTGGTTTTCTTCTTCCTCTCAACTTTTCTTGTCGCCCTGTCTTAAACCTCCCCCGCTCATCACCATGCCTACCATCTCCGTCGACAAGGAGGCGCTTTTCGAGGCGCTCGGTCGGGAGTATGCGCAATTCATCCCCTTGGATACTCTTTCTTCATACTGACCAACCTCCCTAGTTATACCACCGAGGAGTTCGACGAGCTGTGCTTCGAATTCGGTACGTCGGACATTCTGAACCGGGATTGGCGGGGCAATGCGCTAACTGCTACTTTACCACAGGAATTGAACTCGATGAAGACGTAAATTCTCCTTCGACCGTTCTCGCCCCTTGGGAGTCGCAGTATTAACTCAAACCAGACCACCAACTCGGACAGACCGATTGTGAACGGCAAGCAAGAACCCCCGCAGCTCAAGATCGAGATCCCCGCCAACCGGTACGCACCCGCGATAACTCTAATGATCCAAAATACACATACTGAAAGGTATCTAGATATGACCTGCTGTGCTTCGAGGGTATCGCCCTCATGCTCAACATTTTCCTGGGCCGTCAGCCTCTCCCCAACTACAAGCTGGTCGAGCCTGCCAATGGTGAACTTCAGACCATCATCGTCAAGGAGGACGTATGTTACCACCGAAAATCTGGCTCAACATGAGTGAAACTAATACATGAGCGTAGACTATGAAGATCCGCCCCCTCGTCTCCGGTGCCATTCTCCGCAATATCAAGTTCGACCAAGCGCGTTACGAATCCTTCATTGCCCTGCAAGACAAGCTCCACCAGAACCTCGCCAGGCAAAGAACCCTCGTTTCCATCGGTACCCACGATCTGGACACCATCCAGGGCCCTTTCACATACGAGGCCCTTCCCCCGAAGGACATTAAGTTTGTCCCTCTCAACCAGACGAAAGAAATGAACGGCGAGGAGTTGATGGCTTTCTACGAGGTATGGCCCACAGGTGTCTGACGAGACGAATAAACTAGGTGCTTACTATGTAACAGAAAGACAAGCACCTGGGCAAGTACCTCCACATCATCCGCGACTCCCCCGTTTACCCCGTGATCTACGACTCCAAGAGAACCGTCTGCTCTCTTCCTCCTATCATCAACGGCGATCACTCCAAGATCACCCTGGACACCAAGAACGTCTTCATCGAGATCACTGCACTTGACAAGACGAAGGTTGAGATTGTTAACCGGATCATTGTGTCCATGTTCTCTCAATACACCTCCGAGCCTTTCACGTAAGCCCGCTTCCTCTCGGTTCGAGTAATAAAGCCCTGCTCACTGGACGAATAGGATTGAGCCTGTTAAGGTGATCTCCGATCACAACAACGAGACTAGAGTCGTCCCCGACATTGCGCCCCGTACGACTCAGGCCGAGGTCTCCTACCTCAACCAGTGCTGCGGCCTGGAGCTCTCCCCCGAAGAGATCTGCACTCTCCTGAAGAAGATGGCTTACGATGCGAAGCCCTCTACCGCTTCCAAGGATCTGATTGATGTGTTTATCCCTCCGACGAGAGCCGACGTTCTCCACCAAGCCGACATCATGGAGGATGTCGCCATCGCTTATGGCTTCAACAACCTTCCCCGGTCTTTCCCCAGCAAGTCCGGTACCATTGCTCAACCCCTCCCCATCAACAAGCTTACCGATATTGTGCGCATGGAGGCCGCCATGGCCGGCTGGTCTGAGGTGCTGCCCCTGATCCTGTGCTCGCACGACGAGAACTTCGCTTGGCTCAACCGCAAGGACGACGGAAACACCGCCGTCAAGCTGGCCAACCCCAAGACCACTGAGTTCCAGGTTGTCCGCACAAGCCTGCTGCCCGGTCTGCTCAAGACCATCCGTGAGAACAAGCATCACGCCGTGCCCATGAAGGTCTTCGAAGTCAGCGATGTTGCTTTCAAGGACCTGTCTCTGGAGCGTAAGAGTCGTAACGAGAGGCACTTCGCTGCTGCCTGGTACGGCAAGACGAGTGGTTTCGAGGTTGTCCACGGTCTCCTGGACCGTGTCATGGCCATGCTCAAGAGCGCTTTCATCACTGGCGAGGAGGGCCTTGAGAACCCCGCCATGGCTGACTCTCAGTACTGGATTGAGGAGCTTGACGGTAAGTCAAGAAGCAATTAGACATCCCGAGATATACAGGTCACTAACTGGACGCCTTAGAACCCACCTACTTCCCCGGGCACGCCGCCTCCGTCCACGTGCGCATAGCTGGCAAGGAGCACGTCATCGGTGCCTTCGGTATCCTGCACCCGACGGTGTTGGAGAACTACGAGTTGAAGTACCCCGTCAGCACTCTGGAGATCAACGTCGAAGCTTTCCTGTAAGCGACAGCGTGAGGTCAGAGCAAAGTCATGCGTAGACGATAGATGTTACATAGAAAAATAGCTGATGCCATGATTGATTTATCTCATTGTTACTTCTTGATGTCATCGTCACCAGAAACGAGAACTGTCAGAAGCCAAAAGTAGTCTATCACAGTTTAGTGTGTTCAATAATACTCATGATATATAGTACAGCAGGTGTTGAAAGCTTCGCCATCACTCCTTTGGCTCAGCTGCAGTAAACCTTAGCAGTAGGAGTACTATATCTTCCTTGGTCGAGTAATGGTTAGTACTTGACTAGTTCAAGCCCTTTGGACCTCATACTAACTCTTCCTGCCGTAAGAGTACAGTGGTAAATTCTTATAGTACTAGTACTAGGCTTATGGGGCAACTCAAAACAAACAAGATGTACTTAATTCAATTAATACTAACCGATTATATATATACATGAAACCATAGTATGTAGGGAACCAACTACGTATACCAGTAGCAAGACTACACAATCCTACGAAAGAACAGACACAAATCCAATACCAGCAGACCAAACAATCTCTTTTCCCCACGTGCCTAGATACTAGTACTACTTTAAAAAATTCCAGGTCCTACCCCGACCCAGCCTATGACGTAAGCCAATGAGAATAGAAAGAACAACCAACTCATCAACCTTTCCATCTTCTCATTCCCATTTCCGCCTAGAGTCTCCACTAGACAGAAAAAAAATATACAACCACAGAAGGGCGTCTCGCAACTATCCTTCCCCCATCATCTATGATAGGAAGAGAGAGAGAGCCGGGAGTTGAATAAACAGCTTAGAGGTCATCAAAGTAGTTGTTTATTTGGAAGCGTCATAGGTAAGAGATATAGGAAAGAGGTTTGAGAGTTAGGTTAGGTTAGGTTAATGGGCGGGACAGGAGACTAGGTAATGAAGATGATATTCGAGAACAGGGAAGAGAAGCAGGGCCTAATGGAGAAGAAAAAAAAAACCAAATGAAATTTCTTTTGTTTGGGATATGATTTTTTTTTCTTTACTCCTGGGCGTAAGCCTCGGCACCGGCACCCTCCTGGGCCTCGGTGGCCTGCTGCTCGGCCAGACGCTGCTGCTCAGCGGCCTGCTGAGCGGCAAGAGCCTTGGCGCCGTAGTCCTGGCTCATGGGCTGCAGGACGGGCTGCTCCTCCTTGGGCTCGATGATGGTGACGGCATCGGGGAGAGTCTTCTGGGGACCGGCCTTGCCCTCGGGGTCGGAACCGCGCATGATCTTGACCTTGATACCGAGGACACCCTGGCGGAGGAGAACGTGGCGGGTGGCGCTGTCGATGAATTCCTTGGCGGGCTGACCGGAGTGGATCATGAAACCGTCCTATTTGGAAGAATGATTGTTAGTTTTGCTGGTACTTCATGTCATACATATGATGGACTGGTTCTTCAAATGGTGGGTGTATCTTCGGTTCGGTCCTTGCACAGTTGCTTCGTTTTCGCAGATCGTAGTTGGTAATGTTGTCGTTGGATATGCGCAAATACCACCACTGATTCGGGACCGATCCGACCATTCGAGAAATGAAAATCAATCCTTTTTGATAGACGTACAGTGAACTTCATGGACTTGGCACGGGCAGCACGGAGCTTTCCGGAGACGACAACCTCGCAACCCTTGGCACCGCTCTCCATGATGAAACGGAGGACACCGTAGCAAGCACGGCGGACGGCCAGACCGTTGAGGAGCTTGTAGCGGAGGGACTCGCACTGAGCGACGGCGGAGAGACCGCGGTTCTGGACCTTGGCGGCATAGAGGGAAACGGAGTTCTCGGGGAACTTGAAGCGCTTCTGGATGAGGGAGGTGAGCTCGCGGATGCGGCGGCCCTGCTCACCGAGAACCTCCTGGGTGTGGGTGGCACGGATGACTGTAAAGAAAGAGAGCATCCGTTAGCAACTGGCACATATATTCCATCTTCTTTTGCATATAAAAATCGTCTCCAATTCCCAAAGGTCTCCAGTTGTTGGTTGAAATATTCCCGGCCGTTTTCCGATCACTATTTTCCTTTTGCTCCTCCCGGATGAACCAATCATTCGTCCCATATCGGTTCTTCAAATGTCCCAATCCCGGCCTTTTCCAACATAACACACAGGGTCTGGAATCAAATGCAAAATGCAAAATGAAATATCGGGCGGACGTACTGATGTCGGTGACGGTGGGAGTGACACGGACTTCGACGCCGGAGTATCCCTCCTCAGCCAGCTCGCGCTGGAAGAACTCGTTCAGCTCGGCATAGAAGACACCGTCGGCGACGAACTTGCGGCGCTTCGAAATAGCTCCCTGGACAGCAGCCATGATTGCGTTTCTGTTTTATTGAATTGGCGAAGAAACGGCCGAGGGCGTAGGTTGGGGGTGTGTCGTGCGAGGGCGAAATGGGCGGCGGCGGTCAAGTCAGTTTTGAGAGAGCCGGCGTTAGTGGGCAGTTTTTGCCTTTAGGGCTTCTGCTGGCCCTTCTGGGCTAGGGCTCAACCTCGCTTGCTGCTCGGCGGGCACCTTCCCTCTTTGGGGCGCCAAGCCTCTTAGTCTACAATCCCGCTTTCTGCCTCATATTTCAGGGGTTCAGGCATTAGTTAACTAACTCTGATTGTTTTCTAGTTCTAGTTACAGTAGCTATGGAATTCAATCCAAGATCACAAACTGGAACTAACACTCAAAGCCCATATCCCGATTCCAGCATCTGTATGCATTCTGCTGGTTCCCGCTCTTTTGTATTCATTGATTCATAATCTTCTCTCTGTCCCTCTGTCTGACTGTAAACTGTACTCTACTTCCCCGGAGATGCAACGTCCCAAGCTGGCACTAGATCCACAAGCATACGTCGCAGAGATAATACGAAATTTCTTGCTCGAACCAGGCATACCCAGATCGCTCACCATGATCCACTACCTTGTAACCACATCATAACAGCTTTCGTTGCGTGGGCTATTGCATCTCGACTTCCATCCGATTCATGCTCTTAGGATCCTGCCCGTCCTCTTTGCTCTTAGGGAAGGCGAGATTCGAGATACCCGCAGTTACTGCCGCCATTCCAGTGGAGGCTACACTCAAAGTATCTTTCCCAGACGATCCAGCGCCGAGAGAATGATTAGCGGTTTCAATTCCGGTCAACACTGGTGATGGCTGAGTACTAGTCGCATCACGCCCAATGGGTGGCCTAGAACCAGAGGACCGCACACCGTTCATCTCCGCATCGGTGCGACCAAACGACTCACTCCACCATCTGACCTCATTGATTCGGGGAAAGATCAGTCGCTCCTGTCCACGCTTGTGGTCGTCGATCTGAGGTTCGTACTGTGGATTGGTAAACTGCTCCCTCCGCGCCAGGAAGTAGTCCCACACGCTCCGAGTTCGTTCCTTCGCGTTCCAATCTGCGCGTTCTTTCTCACTGTTGAAAAGAAAGGTTCCAAATTGGCATGAATAGAGGTGGTATAAAAGACGGCGCAGGAACCGCTCGTTAAATTCGAATCGGGTAGGATATTGGTACAGCAACTGATACGTTGCATCAAGAAATTGATGGAAGACTGGACTCGTCTCCTTCACCTTGGTAACCTCCTTGTCGGCGGCGGCGGTTCGGGGTATAGCATTGTTAGGCTTCTTCAGATTTTCTGCGTCGTAGCTTTGCATCTCCCCATCAGATTCTCCAATTGCGTCGCGGCTGTTGTTATCTCTGTTAAAGAATCCTTTGGCGCTTAAGAACGCATTCTCAAGAGCTCTGCCTGCACCACCGCCTTCGCCAAACCCACGGTTGGAATCACCCCCAATCCGCTCGTTCTCGATTTGGAACCACTTCTCACTGTTCAGGTGTCCTGATCTGTGTCGGAACATGTGACCGAAGGATAGCCAATCTTTCTCCACCAGTACCATAAAGCCTTCCATCGTCCTATAGTAAGGATCGAGGCAGATCTGGCTCAGGGCACTCAACTGACTCGTACGATCCCATCCATCGGAACAGTGAATCAAGACGTGCGAATGCTGGAGACCAACCTGCCGAGCGATCAACCGAGCACCGTCTAGGATTCCGGAAATGTGCTTTAGCCATCCACTCCGTGCAAGCTGGTCTTTATTTGGACCCAGTGGGGTTACATCTGAATCCTTGAGCGCATCAATCACCTTGCTCAATGAATCTCTCATCACATGGATATTGTCGATTCCAAGGTAAGCCTTGGTGGCAAATTTGTAGTTGTCCATGTTCTCCGATCCAAGTCCAACAGCTTGCATGGCGAAGGCATTGACCGTGGGGCGAGCATCAACAATGAGATTGTGCTGCTGGGCACCATAAACTTGGGCTTTTCCCTCCGGATTCTCGCTGACAGGGCTCAACAACTCATCTTCCAAGTCATCAGGTACAGTCAGATCAGCCAGCATATGACTGCGTGAGGCGTTCCCTGGGGTCGAATTGGAGGAATCCGAATCGAAGCCAGGCGGGGTGAAGCTTGCAAGAGGTCTCTCTGAGCGCGAGGTTGAAAAGATGGCCGCTAGCAACGCTTCGTCTTGGATGCTGCGGTTTTGTCGCACACCGACAAGAGGCTGTGAGCTCCTTGTGATTGAGCAGTTGTTCACCGGGTGAAGATACGTAAGAACCGGCACTCTCGCTCGGGACCGATATTTTCCAGCGTGATTAAGGGTATTGTCAGAAATGGCCGAGGGGACGGGTAAAAGGGCTGGATAAGTGGCAGAAAACTGGAAAGTCAGAGTCAGCACAATAATTCACACGGTAATTTACGTGGAAATTTACTCCGTAGTCTGTATTCAGTTGAGAAATTCGCCATCCAGAACCAGCCTGATCGACGCCTTGTCTAGCCCATTCTTTGCTAGGATTGTACAGTTCCCAACCGTTGAATTTCTGTTCAGGAGGGGGAGGGCGGTATGAGAAAGCGTAGAGCTTATCAATGCGGCCCACTTTACAGGTCCAGCCTTTGATGGTTTCGTAAACATCACGCGCCTTGCTCTCCGTGGTGAAATAGAAGCAAACAAACGTAAAATCGCGGCACCGGAGACGAATGGAGGACGGCTGGCGGGATGCGGAGGGGGTGGGGCGGCAGGTGCACAAGGAGATTATGGGGTATGTGATCCAAAGCTCTCTAGGCCGACCAGAAGGGCCCGGAGCCTGAGACGTGTCGGTGGAGGAGGAAGGAGGAGGAGGAGGAGGAGTGTGGGAGAAGATAATATGGTGAGGGGTGAGGTGGAGAGTGCCGACCACTTGCTCGCCTCGGCGCGCCAAGGTCACATCTTCAACCTGAAGCATCACAGAAGTCGTTAGTCGGGATATCATCATAGTGCGCTTTACTGCTGGATCGAGGCACTTAAACAGTACTGACCTTAGCAACCCGTGTTCTCTCCATGCCTGGCCGGTTACTCGGTCTGCATCAAATTCATGACTGAACACACACCGATTGGGCACCACGGACTTGCAGCACGGTCGGCGACTACTGGAGCTGCAGACCCGTGAAACGAGAAAAATCAAACGAAAGAGGAGAGCGCAAGAAATCAAAACAGTTCACAATATGTAAATGGAGAGGAACGAGGCTTAGAAGTGAAAGATGACAGGCGACATTTTCAGCAGTAACAGCAGCACGGACACTCGGCCAAATGCGGAGCCCCTCGCTAGTCCGAATGGAAGTGAACCATCCATCACTTCTCCAAGAAAAAAAAGAGCCTTAAAGCCAGACTCCCGTCTTCCAACTACGTCAGTCCCGCCCGGGGTTCCTATGGTTTGGTCACTCCGGTTTCTCTTTATTCTGTAACCCCCATCATGATGTTTTCTGCCTCTTGACTTCTGTTCTCTCCTGCACCCTCTAAAATTCCTGATTTCACTAGGAAGTTTTACGTGGCACTCCATTCACTACCCCCCTGAAATCTCTGAGTCTGATGAATGTTATTCCTCATTAGGGCAGCTATTGCTTGTGAGGGGTTGCCATTTTGGGAAACTCATCTGATTTTCAGGGTCAAGTGCTGCTTCTCATAACACTTCATCTTCCTCTACTACTCCTATCATGCTGCTGGCGGAACAATTGCTCTTCATCTGATCTATTGCAGTGTCACTATTTACCCTTGTACCATATTACCATTTCATACCACATCCAATCTGTTATTTTCATAGACATCCCTGTCACCTGACCAACAATATCTCATATAACATATTTTTTTTATTTTCGAACCAACTAAAAGAACATGCCAGAACTATACTGTCCTATACCGCCCAGGGATAAGGACATATACCGCTTTCGGCAGCAATTTGGAGCGAGTCTGGGTTCTTTCTTTGTACTCGGTCCGCGTAATACTGCTGGCGAGTCAAATGAACTACAGTTACTCAAAACGTAGGTACTAGAAAATACATGACATCCTCCCCACATACATGGTTCCTCCCCTATAGGTACTAAACCGCAGTATATCATACCAGATCCATAGCATCCACCGGACTCAGGCAAACCAAACAGAAATGGGAATCCCACTGGCACTCGGCACTGACCGACGAAGACCTTGCCTGGCTCAAGGACGTAGCGCACTGCCGAACCCTCCGCTTACCATTGAGCTTCTACTCCCTCGGACCCGTATTCAGTCGGGGAACATCCTTCGAAGGGGATCCATCAGAAGTGTACCACCAATGCTGGAGTAACGTGAAGCATCTTATCGAAAAATGTTGGTTCCACGGGATCGGTATCCTCATTGATTTTCAGGCCAGCGCCAGCGGTATAAACCTCTGTGCGAGTGCCAAAGATCGAACAATAGCCCGGGACTGCGTCGCTTTCCTTGCCCAAGAGATAACCTTTCATTCTATGTCCGGGGTGGTCGGACTCTCTGTATCCTCCGGATGTGAACCCGCCCCAGACATGTGCGAATGCTACGACGAGATCATCCAAATAGCCAATGCCATTGATGCATCTTTGCCTGTATACATCAACGACCACCAGGCAACATGCAACAAACGGGTCTTTGAGGGTTGCGAAACTGACATTGCTCAATTCAAAACTGATATTTCAAATGGTAAACTTCAAATACCTAGTCAAATGACGCTACCCGAAACAGAGGTCCGAGAGAAAACCAACCAAGCCAAAGCCGAACGATCACAATTACAGGAGAAGGCTTTGTTGCAAATCTCGGAGTCTTGGGGCTCGAATAAACGTCAAAGCTTTGTCCATGGCTGGAACTTGGGATACGATGATGCATTACGATTCTTTGGCGCTGGTGTTCAAGGCATTCTGGCACCGCGGAAAGGTGCGGACAAGATCTATAATATAGAGTTGTGGGTTCAGCAGCGCAAAAGAGATATAGACCCGGAGCAGCTGGAGGAAAATTCGGAGGCATGGGAGGATGGTCTTCGGAGAGGGATTAATGATTTCTACGACTTTATTGGAATTTGATTTCAAAAAGCAATTATCGGTTCGCACTACATAGAGAGGCGTCTTTATGATTCTTCAATAAAGCGCACTAGGTGCTAGAGATGTTGTCACTCTCGGGTGTTATGCATCGGCTTTTCAAGACCGCGGCGGAAATATATTTCGTGATCAAGAACACCGGAACTTTGATCAGACATGAGGAATAGTACTTAGCTACTAGTACATAATACACAAAAATGGAAGTAGAGAGGGGCAAAGTCTTCCCAATTACAAGTTATATCATACTGTACATATATCATCAAAGTAAATATCTATTTATACAATCGAACACTGCTTCCCGCCAGCTTAACTCAGATAGTATCATTCCAAACAGCTCCCAAGCGCCTCGCTCTATCCAACTCGAAAGCCAGGGCGCAAGCAGTGTTATAGAACGTGTGGAACTCTTCCTTGAACGCAGCAACATCCCGCGACACAGTCTCGGAAGAAACATCAACGTTGGAATCAGCCGACGCAGAACCGTCCGTCATATCCATGTTCAAGAACAAGTCTGTGGTACGGTACGGGTTGAACGGCCCGCTCTCGTAAAAAGCATAATTGAGCTGCTGGCCACGGAAATCGTACTCGTGGATACGAGTTCCCCGGATATCGCTGACGGGGAGGAAGATGTACTCTGCGGAGCTGTCGGCGGCGTCCTGGGGAAGGATAGCGCGGGGGAGAGTGACTTGTGTGAACGGGGGAAGAGGGAGTTCTCCGTCTGTTGTGGAGGTGCGGGAGAAGAGGCTTCGGAGGGATTCCTCGATGTTTGAGAGGGAGAAGGAGTTGCTGTCCTGGGACGGGGGGAGGAGCTCCCGGGTGAGTTTGCGGGTAAAGCGGAGGTCAAGTCCGTTCTCGGGGAGGAGGTAATCGACGTTGCTTTCGGAGAGGATAAGTTTTGCGCTGCGCATGGAGAAGTCGGGGGTTGCATCTTCGGGTGTGCTGCTTGTCTCGGCAGTGACTTCTAGTTCGAGCTGGGGGAAGACGTTGGCGTTAAGAGCTGATGGGACGAGTCGGAAGCGGTAGGCTTGTTGGTGCTCGTCCACTGGTTTAGGGGTGAGCGTGCGGAGAAATTGCGCTGCGCGAGGGATGTCGGTGGTGAAGGTCCTTGGGAGTGACATTCTGCCGAGTTGAGAAGCGTTGACCGAGCTCTCTTCGAAGAATGGCTTGCGTAGGAAAAGGCATTTGCCGACTGCTGCCGTGATGGATTCATGGAAGTCGGCGCCGGTCTCAGAATGTGCCTGATGAGTGACGGATGATTTCTGTCGAAGTAGCTTGAAAAGCTCATCGGATACCCGAGTTTGATGGTTATCGAACATTACCGTGTCCGAGGGCTTCACCTCGTCAGACTGCGTTGCTGGTGTGGCCCATCGGAACCACGCTTTTTGCCTCTCGAACCATGATGTGTTGTTCTCAGGATCAATGTCATGGACACTGGCTGGCTCAGTTGAGGGTAGGTATGTGCTGAACGGTACAGCGGGAGCAGTTCCACTGTAATAGGCAAGGTGCAGGGCCCTACGGGCATTATCTGCATCCTGTTTGTCTTCGGCAAGATAGTAGATTTGGCTTGGCGTATGTGGTGTATTTTGTTCGAATGCTACTCTATAGGTTTTGGTCACCCACGAGAGGAAATCTGGAGTGTAGATGCGGTTGTTGACTTTCGTCTTCGTTTCGTCAGGTGGCAATTCAATGCTTTCTTGTCGAACCCTAGCCATGGCATCGTGTACAATCTCACTGATTGACTCGCAGATACGTTGCATTCCTGTGATTCTCACAAGACCAAGCGAATGCGTGACATCAATTTTTGCGTCGTGCATGTTGGCCAATTCTTCGAAAGAAAAATGCTGCGAACTGAGGAGCAGAGACAGTACATGCGTCGGCAGCTGTATGTCTAGTTGGCCAACTTCATCAAGGACTCCGAGATGCCAGCAGTCACGGAGTATCCTTTCAGCCAGTAGAAATTTCCCCTTGAGACCTTGCGACGCTGCAACCCTATCGGCGACACCTTTTCGGGAGAGATAACTACTTTCGAGAAACTCGGAGACTCCGGGTGTCCAGCGTGTGGGCGTCGTCTCTGGTGTTCCGTCCTTATCCAACTCATTCTCCTTCCATTCTATTATATAGTCCAATAATTGCCGGTAGGTAAATGACGACTGGAATTCGTTTCGGAGCGCCGTCCAATCGGCAACGGGCAACTTGTGATGAGGTTCATAATCAAGACGGAAACTTTCGACACGTGTTTTGAGCAGCTCACTATCAACAAACTGATCGTCATTGTCGATTTCCCTCAAAAAGAGAGGAAGGGTATTTTCGTCGGTGACTTCCTTCGGCTCATCCTTGGCTATGCGTAGTCGACGGCGTTGCCGGTCCTTGACCACTACTACCTCACCAGGATTTCCAAGCGAGCTCACAGAAATGGGTACTTTTTTACCCAGTCTCCGTTGGAGTCGGTGGTGCTGGAGACGGTTGTGGCCAGGTGTACGGCGCGAAGATACGTGTTGCGGCGGCGTCTCGTCGTGATTCGCATCAGTTTCGGTGGATTCGAACCGGATAGATACATTATGCCGGCGCAAGGAGGGAGGGAGTAAGCTTGCTCTGCATTCTGGGAGCAGCCGGCAGCCTAAAAGACTTGCTGCACTGTTGGAATATCGAGACAGCATATGGACCACGAAACCAAATGCACCAGACCGGAGTTTAAGAAAAGCCCGGATGGAAAGTTGAAGCTCAGATTGATGCATTATGAACTTTCAGCTAGTCCATAAGTGGACTAGCTCATGTTTGGACCCACCTCGAGCAGTTCCTCGATTATCGATACGGTTATCGGAGACTACGCTTACATGGGGCAGTTATCTACCCCAACATTCTGGTGCCATAAGTGAGAAAGCAAACATATTGAAGAACAGAGGCATGAGTAAAAGTCATAGGGGTATTATACAAGAGACTGCTTAACGCCACAAAGCACCATACTGGATCACTCCTTGTTCATGACCTCCCAACTTCGCAGATCCTCGCGCACATCGAACTCGGACAGTTCAAATTCCGAACTACGATTCTTCCAAGCCTTGCCTTTAGGATTGTCATACAGTTGCTGTTCTATGCTTCCGCTTTTTCGTGCATGATCAGCGACCGGGGCAAAGTCTGTTCCTTTCACATCGTTGCGATAATGATTGCTTGAAGAACTCCTTGGTCGCCTCTCAAAATTGGAAGGAGACAATCGATTGTCTGATGAAGCTTGCCTTACGCTTGTGCGCCCATGTGGTGACAGTCGATCCGCCTGATTCTCGACTGATTTCTCTGCACGGGCATCATGCCCATCTGCCCAGCTAATGCCACCGGAGAACAGTTCTTCGATCAGCTTGTCGGCCGGTAAATCGTCCGCCCGCGAATTCCAAGACGCGGCCAGTGTGCGGCGGTACATGTCTTGCATATCTGTCACTTCCCGGCTCTGGGTGTTGATCGAGGGAAGCCGGCCAAGATCGTCGTGTTCGCCCTGTTCCGAGGATACAACCCCAGCGATTCCGCCAAAGACCATGGCTGATTTGAGAGGCGGCCTGAATGTCATCAGCAACATGCTCCTCGAAACTATTACAGCGCATCCCAGTATAGTATGTGACATACGTAATGTAGTTCCGATCCCCTTCGACCTGGCGTGTAGCTATACCAACTTTTAGTGTGCTGTTGATCTTGCTATCCTGCATCAAGTATCTCCGGACAATGCCCTCGTCATCGTCACTCTTATCCACATATTCGGAAAGATTGAGTCTGATCCTTCCTAGCAGATTCTTCTCACTGTTCCCCCCTGACGCAAACTCTTGAATGACTTCGAAGTACAACTCGCATTCGTGTAAAGTCTGGTTGCGGTCAATGGTGAGCCTGACCTGCAGGACCTTCTCATAGTTCCAATATGCCCGATGATCTATGATGATCGCCTTATCTGTGTGGCCGTAGTGTTCAGGCGCACTAGATGACGGTAGGCGCCATTTGACGAAAGCGGTACCGCTCACGAGGGGGACATTATTGAGGTCAATGATCTACAACCACCATAGCAGTTAGTTGGTAGGTCATTTGCAATGTGATCAATGGTCCTTACTCTGAGTATTAACTCAAACCGAGGCTGCACCTGGAATTGGCATCTTCAATACTTCCATGGATTGAGCATGATCGACTTACTCTCCGGTTCTTGGGGACTAGAGTTGCATCATTAGCGCAATTGCCAGAAGACATGTCATCCTACTTGGTGACCCGATTTGTTTGATGAGATATAGGATGGGTAACATACCGAAAGCCTGCATAATTGGCAAGCTCGTAGCGAAGTAAACAGACCTGTATCACCTGTCTTTCATCTATCCGAGTGACCGGGTAGCTTCACGACATCCTGAGAGGCGCTGCCGGTCGAGGCCCTCCCCGAACCCCCACATCCGGAGCAAAGGCGGCGAGCTTCCCCCTGACGGCAGGAACTGACCGCCTGAACGTATCTAATCAGGATCACGTACGCGCTAACGTTCGAGGCTTGGAAAGATGAACGCTTTCGTGAATATCTAAAGGCAGTATAGACAGCCTCCAAGTACTATTAACTGCAAGGACAAGCCAGTTATTGCTGCGAGCCGTAAAGGAAGCTCATTGGAATACAAATGGAGCTGCGGGGCACCGTCTCGGATCAGGTGACCATTAATGGCGGTGAACCGGCAGATGGCAGTAATGGCGACTGACAAAATCCCAGGAATATTCAAGAACTCTCATCACCTCAGTTTCCAATAACCTGCGAAATCTCACTATTTTCTGGCACAATCTACCCTATTGAACTCGAATTTTGTAAATGGTTGTTCAGCAAACACCCCTTCTCAACAGTCACATCAATATGGATCAACAACTCCCTCTCTCTCCGCCTTCTGAGCCAACGCCTTCTCCCACAGCCAAGGCGGTCCCGCAGGACTCCCCTGTCCGCACCACTGCGATTCACGAACTGCTACCTGAGATTCGAATTCCGGGCGAACCATTACCGCCGCACAAATACCATCCGGTTACTTGCACTCCCATCGACGAAGAAGAAATACGCTCCCAGATTGAACAACTACGCCAGGAATATCCGACACCAGAAGCGGCTTTGAAGGCGCAAGAAGAAGCTGCCAGGGAAGTGAGGCAAAAGCTGGAAGATGCCGAGAAGAAGCGCGAAGAAGTGCAGAAAGCTATGGACAAGAAGATCAAGGAACGCAACACAGAGATGAAGGTCTTGTCCAAATACCAGGAAGTCAAGACTTCGAACATTGCGTCTTAAATACTGTGTTCAGTCAGATAAGCTTTACACAACCCATGCAGACATGTTCATACATGGCCATCAACAAAAGGGCACCGCCAGTCTTCTCAGAGGGGACAAATACAATGAGAGATGAATCATTGTGCGATCTCGAAGTCCAAACGACTAGCAGATGGCGCCGAGCAGGTTGAACTCCTCTTTGAGCCGCTCTACTGGAATCGGCACCCAGTTATGGGATGAATAAGCCATACCGTGTGCTTGGCTTTATTTAGAATTGTGTCTCCAAGAACCCGGCGTGACAGATTTGAATACGGTACGGCTTCGATGGAGACCTCTTCTACGGCTCGGAATACATACTGGCAAATCGAGCTACTTCCTCTCTACAAGGCTTAAAGGCAATCAGGAAGTGTTCATCCATGAACACCGCGATGAGTTGTTCTTGCGATTACGGCAAAGCCAGCTCCACGACAGGAACGGCGTTAGGAGGTTTTATGACTATGGATGTGCTAATATTAAGACGTCGTCTGTACTTGACGTTAAATCGGCAGCACAAGCGTCGTGAACATTGAATGCATCAACATCAAACACATAATTACTCATAGGATTAAAGTAGACTCGTTGTCCATCAGATCGTATATCCTTCAAATATCACACCTCATTACATTCACAGCGATCCCAAGACCTTAACCAAAGCGGGAAGCAACTATGAAAAGTTAGTCTGTGGCTCACTGTGCGGCTGTTATTCAGAAGAGACTTACCTCAGAAGCGTCCTCAACGAGTACTTGCGTTTCGTTGACAAACTTCGAAGTCAACAAGTCGTTGGCATTTCCAAGGAGACCGCCGATTTCGCCAAGCATTTCGGGTGTAAGGATTGGCGCAACTTCACTCAGGATCGGCGAAACTTCGTCGATGAGGTTGCTCGTCTCATTGACGAAATTAGGCGTCAACAGGTTCGTTGCGTTACCCAGCAAGTAGTTCACCTTTGTGAGGAGAGCAGGAGTGATTGCAGGTGCCACACTATCGATCAGATTCTGGGTCTCTTCAACGAACTTGGTGGTCAATAGCTTGTTGGCGTTGCCGAGAAGTTCGCCGACCTCGCCAAGCAACTCAGGTGTGATGACTGGCGAGAGATCGTCGATCAATCCTTGCGTCTCATTGACAAACTTCGCTGTCAATAGGGAGTTTGCATTGTCGAGCAATCCTGAGACCTCTGATAGCAATTGAGGTGTGATGACCGGTGAAAGATCGCCAATCAAGCTACGGGTCTCCTTGACGAAATCGGTCGTCAGTAGGTCGTTCGCATTGCCAACCAATGTCTGGGTCTCATCAACGAATCCGGTAGTCAGCAGAGAGTTGGCGTTGCCCAAGAGACTGCCAACTTCCTTTAGAAGAGCAGGTGTCAAGACTGGAGCCACGGCGCCAATCAAGCCCTGAGTCTCGTTGACGAATGTCGGTGTGAGCAGGTCATTGGCATTGCCCAACAAGCCAGCAACCTCTGCGAGAACAGCTGGTGTAAGTACAGGGGCAACGGCGCCGATCAAGCTCTTGGTTTCCTTCACGAAGTCGGTGGTCAACAGGTTATTAGCGTTGCCCAGGACAGAGTTGATCTCCTTGAACAATTCGGGGGTCAGGTTAGGAGCAACAGTTTCGATCAAAGATTGAGTCTCATTGACAAAGCCTGGTGTCAAGAGGCCATTGGCATTGCTGAGGACCGAGTTGATCTCCTTGAACAATTCTGGTGTCAAATTAGGCGCGACTGTATCAATCAAAGATGTTGTCTCCTTGACGAAGTTTGCAGTCAACAAGCTGTTGGCATTAGTCAATAGCGTGTTGACCTCCTTCAGCAGTTCTGGAGTCAGGATCGGGCCGACCGCGCTGATGAGCGACTTCGTTTCCTTAACGAAGTCTGCAGTCAGGAGATCATTGGCGTTGTTAAGCAGCGTGCCAACCTCACCAAGTAGGTCTGGTGTCAGTACAGGAGAGACAGCTTCGATAAGCTCACGTGTCTCCTTCACGAAGTCGGCTGTCAACAAGTTGTTTGCATTGCCAATCAGGCCGTTAACCTCCTTGACAAACTCAGCAGTCAAAAGGTTGTTGCCATTATCAAGCAAGGTAGAGATCTTCTTGAACAATTGTGGCGTGACGAGTGGGCCAACCGAGTTGATCAGTTGCTGGGTCTCGTTCACAAAGTTTGGCGTCAATAGGCTGTTTGCATTGTTGAGGAGACCGGTCAATTCAGTGATCAACTGCTTGGTGAGCAGGTTGTACGCAGTGTCGATCAATGACTTCGTCTGGTCGGTAGTCTTGTCATCGAACAGATATGCAAAGTGGTTGAAGAACGACTCCACATTCTTCAAGAATGTTGGCGACAAGAGACCCAGGAGGCCATCGAGGCCATCACCAATGTCCGTCAAAAGGTTTCCGGAAGAGCCGCCTGCGGATGATGAAGAACTCGTCGTTGCAGAAGACGCGGTGTCCTGCGTGGAGGTGGCAGACTGACCAAGACCTGCTGCTGAGGGGGATGCGGCAGCAGTGCTGCTTGCTCCAGCATTTTGGCTGGAGCCACCACCAAGGATGCCACCCACCAGTCCGCCAAGAAGATCTCCACCCTGTGACTGGGTGGCGGTTGTTTGGCTTGTCGGTTCCGGAGCTGCGGCTGTTTGCTGTACGGCACTGGGGGTGGTTTGCTGGCCAGCTACATCGGCAGATGGCTGCTGGTTACCGGTGTCTGTATTTGTGTTTGCGTTTGACTGCTGAGTGGCAGCATTTGCGTTTTGCTGGTCGGCACTACCATCGTTGTCTGGCTGCTGCTTCGTACTGGCCGTCTGCTCGGATGCACCAGTTGCTGCCGCCGACGCTGCCGCCGCCGCAGTTGCCTCTGCAGCAGCAGTTGTTTGTGCTGCAACATGTTCCTCTGGCGCTGGGCTCCCCTGTGTAGAGATGGCCACGGATGAGGAAACCTGGGCCGGGGTTGCCAGCGAAGTGCTGGAAAGCAAAAGGGCGGAAAGAAGGGCCGACGAGACGCGCATATTGAGGGTGCTCTCCACCAGGGAATGCCAGCAATTGACGACGGACGGGTCAGGGTCCAGATCAATGCAGACGGCAGGGCTCTTTTTATACCTGCAGATACACGGCAGCCACCCGCGCTCTCCACATCGATCCAAATATCAAGACAAGGCCGAGGGCTGTCCTTAACCCCACATGTGAGATGACTAGGACGTGCTGGGGCGTCTCATAATAGCCATACTACCGAGACCATGCGGACTGGCCTCTTCCTAACCTAACGGGGATGATTCCTTTTCGGTCCCTGGTCAGAGACAACGTGACGATCGTCCGTATTGGACCACCAGATGAGTACCCGAACTGGCTACCCACCGCAGGGGAGTGCTCCTCTGATCCAACCGAGTAGATGGTTTGATTTGGAGCAGCCTATGTTTGTCGAAGTGAACCGTGCACCTTAAGCTGCGTTAGGGGTACTTAGCCTTGCGGGGGGGGCGAATGAATGGGAAGGGAAATTACGAGGTGCACTTAGGATCATGGTTTGGCTCCCGATATGGGCTTATTTTTCCGCTCTAACTTCCTGGGTACCTCGGTGATCGACACCAAAGCCCATCAATTTGAGTCAAGCGAGCATCTGACAAAAGTTGCCCTTGCGGCTATGATGCCATGTCGCAATTGACTCCGCGGTGGGTGTTGACACCCCAACAGTGATTGGATGTGCCTTGGGAAACAGGAGTCCTAGTTCCTGGCTAAGGGGTGTGACCTGGGAGGTCCACTCTTTCGACTATTACCCAGTGGCAGTGTTCGCCGTTCACGTTGGCTATCAGTCTGGAAGCTGTGGGTGATTATCACCTAAGCCATCTACGGCAAATGTTCTCCGACTTGATTTTGCGGGGACGGGTGGAAACAATAGTAGTTTACCGGTAGAACCTGGGTCTCCAGTGATGGATGCTAACCACAATGTACTCGCACGAGTAGTCGTTGGAATGGCCTCAGTGCAATGGCCAACATAAGTGCCCAACCCACCCGCAGCAGCGAGGTTGCACTCGGAGTCCGCGAAACAGCGCAAGGAGCAGTTGCCGTGCTGCGAGGTTCGGCAAGAGAGATGCTCGGTAACATGTGAAGTAGCAATGGCCCTGGCTACTGGAGTTGGCGAGCGGGCAGTTGGCGATTTAGGTTTTCCCCTCGGACTCGGTCTAAATTAGCTTGATGATCGACGGCGACCATCAAGCGGGGTTGGCGCCGTGGTTCCTCGACAAACACACGAAGGATTTCTTGGTCAAGCTGGGGAAGGAATGGGTCAGGGCACACCCATAACCGTTGGTTCTGAGTTGGCTATCATCTATTGAGGATGGTCCCCTCCCTCATTTACACCTCGCCAGACAGCACAAGATCCCCCTTGGTCGCGAGTTATTCTTTTCAACGTCATGACAGTGCATCAATTGAAGAAAGAAACGGAATCTTACATTACTGGACCTGCATAATAAAACTTTCCACGATGCAGTGTGCGGGCTATTTTATGCAGATGGTGGCCTCCACACCCGCATTAACTTTGCGTAACTCCAAGTGATTCCCTCTCACCACCAGAACATCTCACCTCATCCTTCATATACAGAACAATGTCTCATCTTAGGAATTCAAGATTTCAAAAATCCGATTTCAGAAGCCAATTCAACTATCATGGCTCCAAAAGATTGTGATCCGCAGCGACGACCGCATCAGCCACCACCGACCTTGGGATGTCAAGAAGATGAGACAACGAAGGGGGGGGCTACCCTATCTCTGGTAGATCGCATATTGCAGACTAAAACATTGTGCTACATGACACAGTGCAGACCTTACTTCCAGACTACCACGCCCTCAGAGGCAAAAGCAGGAACTGGACCTGGCAAGGGGAAAGTCATCTGACGGCTCGGGCCCTACTTTCTCGATCAGCAAGGGAGGCCGAACTTGCCGCATCCAAAACGTGCTGACTTACTTCCACTTCTATCGTAGATAACCAGATAAGTTTTTTTTACCAGGATGATAATTATAGACACTTTCTAGATCCCATGGAATGATCCAGGTACGAGAAGTTAATTCATTGCTATTCTATGTTCTGTTCATTTTTTGCAGTATGGTGTGCGTGTGTGGTGGTGGTCTGGGTTGGGTTGGGCCCAAAAATCAGACCGGATCTACTTCCGCTCTATTTTGTAACGGTAGCCTGCTTCAGTGGATGGCCCAAATATGGAGTCAGTTGGATGATCTGCTACTTAGCTTTTCTCCCTAATTCTTATTCCTCTATTTCGGAAAACCTTTTTCTTTCCTTCCTGCTGCACTGTTGGTTATCACAAAGGGGCAGGTATATCTTTGAAGTTGTTTCAAGCTGACAATGCGAAACCCAGGATCATCTTATCGCCTTTTCGTTCTCTTATCTAATTCTACTTGGTTCTAGCTGCGTTGTATATCTTTCTAGGCACTTGTTTTAACAACTTTAAGTGGAATATGTAACGGATTCTACGGGTCATTTTCATTCCTTCACCGGGGCTCATCCGTCCATGCATATCAAAAAGGAATACTTAGGAGCCGGTGTTTCACTAATAGCCCTATTACCTGTTAAGAACTCACCTATATACCATCTCAGGCTAGGAAACTGCTAGCTATAGCAGCCTTTTTGAGGGTAGACGCACTAAATGAGCTCTCCAACATATTGCGTGATTTATTCATCGGAACGATATTTGAGCAGGCGGAAACTACTTGCCATTTTTCTGACCGGTCTATTCAACACTGATTTCGTCTACTCCTGTCGCAAACTTTTTCAGGGTCTAGGTACCTGGCGTTGGTCCGTGGTGTCGTCTCATAGCAACATGCTATCCAATTCAGTTCTTATCTCACTTTTTTGTTCCTATATCTGATCGAGCCTGCTAGGTAAAATGCTAGCTATACGATTTCTTCACCAGTTAAAGCAAGAATGTGGCCCTAGGCACTATCTCCCTCGAACTTTAAGAGTATTGCAACAATGCATGCTACGGCGTAGGAAGGTCGTCGCCGCAGCTAAACTTAGCTAAATTGCATGCAAAGAGATACTAAAAAGGAGTGTCGCAGGTGGCTGCCTTGCTACCTGCGAGTGACCGTCCTATCTCTCCGTTATCCACCGCATACTTCCTACTTGACTTTTCCTTCCTTCTAATATGTGTAGCCTTCCTCGCTGACTCGGATTGGACGTGTTCGGGTTCTCTACTCATTATCTTCAACCGCTATCCCCAATTTCCTGAACTACATGTTTCTGGTCTCGCTAGGTATATTCAGAGTAGAGGTTGAGACCGACCTGTCCGAACCGCTTGAGCAGGCCTGTCTGCAATATGCATTGAGCGATGTAGTGGTTCGCCTGTGGGACAACCTGCTAGTGATTCCCGGGAAGAGATGCTCTGTCAGGGTGAAGACGAGGAAGCCTAACTGTATGATTTACTCTATCTCCTTAAGCATGTCTATTGAGCTGGTTATTTTGTGGACTCATTCACTGCAACTAGGCAGATGGCAGCTGATCCTTTGCCTCCTCTTCTTTCTACGTAGTCTCTGATCACCATCTCTCTTAACCATCAAACTCAACCTTCTCAAAATCTAGCTAGATCAGATCTATTTGTCCCCTTGCCTCGAGAATTTTTATGTTCTTTTCCTCTCTTTCATCATGTATGGTATTCGAGTTCGATATCTTCAGCGTTCCCTGCCTGGAGTGAATCTATCAACTCAGAATTGGAAGAGTAAGATCTGACAGAATATGAAACAGCAAAGTTGATAGATACGAAGTGGTTCAGACTTTATCATTACCCAACTGAGCTTTTCTACAGTCTAATTGACAAGACTTTCAATTTCTTTGCATGCTCAAAAGGCGATCGAAGAAAGCATCGACAAGAGCTTGTAAAGAGATACTTCCTGCTTTAGTTTTGTTTTTCTCTTCCTCTTCATCTCTCTTTCTGCTCTAATAGAAACGCTTCGTGTACAGGACTTGCGTCACGAGGATATAGGTAAGTTTGATATGTTGGTATGATGTTATCGAGGTACTACAAATTAGGCCCAGATTGGTAATAAGACTTGTAGACTCTGCCTCTACAGGCTTAAGTCAACGCGATTGATCTTGGTGTGTAAGTTCACTATGTTCTTTCCCAGATAAGAAACTGAAGAAGCCTTTCCCTTCGTCATCTTCGAGTATCCGTTAGATGGCATGTCCAACATCTCTTTGGTACTTCCAGGGACTTCATTGGGCACTTCATATGTGACATATATGATCTTTGTATAGTGGGTCAAGCTTTCAATTGTCATTGACTTACTTACCGGTTTTATATATATATAAAGTCTCAAGGCTATATAGTATAGGAATATTTGGAGTCTCTTCGATAGAGCAGGCAGCACCAGCAATGTAAAAGTCATGCCCTACCCTATCCCGAGTACACGGTACTAATCAATACACAACATCTCAAGATAGAAACTAATCTCCGTGAATGAATTTATATAACTGGCGATAGTTCACCTACTTGGGATTTGGGGCTATTTCTACACAAGTAGATTTGTTTTGCTCAAGCTTTCCTTTAAAGATACCTCAAGCCAACCAACTATATCACGACTACATAGTCTCAGGCATTATTTCAACGATATTGATCGTCTGGAAGAGCTGAGATGGTTCTCTGCACGGCTGAAGGAGGGGCAGATCTATCCCATGGATTAAGTGGGGGCTGAGGCTGACGATGCATTAGTGGTTATTATCCACCGCCATGATTCGACCATGATGGCTGTTCAGCTATTCAGCTGCTCAGCCGTACAGTTCATCCAAATCCAATCCATTCTCCATTTCAACAAACGTGAGGGCCTAAGAGAAGTGGGGTTAAATACGATCTGAGTTGATGATTACTATAAAACCCACTCATCTCCCTCCCGTCACGACTGTGTTTTCCTCTTGAACATCAACCTCTCCTACTATCCAAACCGTGACTACTAGAAACCTAGTAACTACTAGCACCACTTCCTCACCGCTGTTCCACCCCTCAAGTTCAATAACTTTCTACATCATGCCTGTTACTGCTATCGAGAGGTATGACCTTTATCATCATTTTAAACATATCCTAATCAACTTCCCTTCCATATAAGTAACTAACCATGCTCCTCTTCTACACTATCAGTCTCCGCGACTTCCAAACCCTCATCGACTCTGGCGATGTGGTAATCGTCGACTTCTGGGCTGACTGGTGTGGTCCTTGCAGAATGATGAGTCCGATCTTCGAACAGCTGGCCTCCATTCCTGAGTCGAGCGCGATCAAGTTCACCAAAGTCGATATTGATACCCAGCCTGAGATTTCTGAAGAAGTTGGAATCAGATCCTTGCCTACTTTCATGGTGTTTAAAGATGGTCAGAAATTGGACGAGTTGGTTGGTGCTAATCCCCCAGGCCTGCATACGCTTATTCAGCGCCATGCATGATTTTGGGTAAACTATATACTACTTATGTTGTGCTATGTGCCTTTGTGTGATGCGATATGAGTTTGCTGGATTTGGATTATGTATATGTCTTGAATCACTTTGGTGGTTCTCTTTTCATTGTTATTGTTGACGGTATAAGTTTCGATTCTTGTAGCAGCAGGAAGTAGACGTAAAGCACATACGATAACTAATTTCCATTCATTGGTTAACGGAAGATTTGATTATACTAACAGCTGCCGCTAGTGACAGTACAAGCGTGGATGATGCACTTAGCACTATACACTCCAGTGTCACCTTCAATAGTGAGCAGTCAGGCAGGCTATAACACTGGTTCTATAGTAGTACAGAGATAATATAGACAAGCTATAGCCTGAAGAGATCGAAGAGTGAGACCGGTCTCTGATAGACTATCAACGCTATGGCATAAAGTTACCTTGAATTGTATTACATTGCTGCTATCCCATAGGAAACTACCTACTTGAGCCATCTACATAAACCACAAATCAGCTCTTATACCCTTAAATTAAACCCATTTGGACAGCCATTTCCTTCCGATCAAGAGCATCAAGACACTAAGATAGTCTAGCTAGCTACGCCTACCTCACAGTGATAACCTTTCCAGGGATAATAAAAGAGAAGTAAACTCAATTCTGAGAATTAGTCAGACTCTAATCCAACATGAGTGAATTTTGTCAAAGAATGCCCTGTAAATAGCAATCAATGCTAATTAGACATGAAACATGTCATTGCGGATCACTAGGGGTCCTGACGGAAATGAGGGATTTATTTTAAATCTTTAATCTGACTTCTTGGGGAGATTATTTCCGAGGGAGTAGGTGTGTGTGTGTGTGTGTGTGTGTGTGTGTGTCTGGGTTATTTCCTTTTTTCCTTTCTAACTTTTCTCATTAGCTATGATCATGCTTGGTGTTAGTATTGGTGTTGGTACTGAGAATGTGATGATAGGTCCAGTATGCTTGAGATACGGAGTGGCTTTGAAATATGTTTTAGATGTCTACTACTACTTACTAGCACTCTTCACTGCTACTAGAAGTTATATATGAGATATTTATAATAGCGGATAGGATAGGTATTTCAAGTTAGGGGTCTGTTAATATACTTTGGTGGTCATAATACTAGTAGTATCTTATACTAGAATCTATGAATGCAATCATATCATCTTATCTATTGCAGTCAGTCTGAATATTAATGGTTATCACCATATCTTCAAACGACTTCTCGTCCGGATACATACTAATAATTCTTTTGACTTCACGCATACTCAATTGTGACTTTTGAAAGAACTTCCTCCTGCAGACTAGCCAACACGTAAGAAATACAGTACTTTGTCTCAAAGTTTCTTTCGAAGCTGAATTTAACTTTCTTTTCTGAAGGATAGTTTCGTGTGGCTGTGTAACACTCTATCCGTGACGTTGGCTGTACAAGCTTCATAATGGGGTGTAAAGTTTTACCGTTGGTCTGCAGACTTTGCATGCTCAATCTTAGACTTGCCAATCGTCTTGGCAGTTGGTTAAAGTTTCAAAGCTAAGTGTGAGTAATATGGCTTGGGAGAGAAGGTAACCTCAAGAATTGGTGCTAATTGGTTTGGTGTTACTTGGAGAGTTGAAGGTAAAACTGTGGTCTCTATCTGGTGCCATTATTTAGCTGATGCGCTGGAAGGAGTGTCAGTATGGGAAGCATAAGAAGGACAAAGTGGTAAGTAACAGGCAATTATAGCGTGATTCAGTTTCATGGTATCACTTAGCTCGTGCAGACTAATAATGTATTGCAGTCCCTCTGCTTTTTTTTTTTTGCTTGCTCTGCTAGCCATAGTAAATGCCCAACAAAGACTTCAAAGAAAAAGAGAGATATTGCAACGGACACCAATTAGAACCACTGACATGTTCCGCACATAGGCAACAGATCATACATCGTACAGGAAAAGCAACACAAGTAGACAGGTCAGGTGATTAGCGCATCTGTCGTGAACGAGAGGGGTCGAACTTTTGACGTCCGGTCCTCTTTTCAGAACCTCATGCAGTGTCATCATGATGGTAGTAACCCGGTCGACTTTACCTCAGGTTGTACAAGCTTCAAGCCACTGTTGTGACATATCAGGCATCAAAGACAGATCTCACAAGCGCCTTTACTTATCGGTTTCAGCAATCACAGCAGCTGAAAGAAAGTCGGAAAGCATGTGCGGTGTTACATCAGAGTCAGCTTTCCAAGGTCTCTTCGCTCAATGCAGAAGCAAAATAGCCAGCTGAAAATGATCTCCTCTCTAGTACGTACCAGAGGTAAGTGACAGTGTGACATATTGTGCATAATGTTCGGCTCATTCTGGAGCCAAAGCACTCTGTGCTCAGATGGTCTTGATATCTATATAATATAGTGTGGCTGGCTGTGGTGGTCTCAGTCAACATGCTATGCCATATCAATAGTGTCGCAATTAGGTGCTGACATCAGCTAATGTGCCCCGGTTTCGACACACCATGGTTAGAGGGTGACCTGAACCGATGTGATGGGTCTAGATGGCCAAGAGGTGGTGGAGACGAGCGAGGGGTATCTCAGCTGGATTGGGGATTGGCAGTATCGAAGAGGGAAGTTTGTAAACAGTTACGTCAAGAGCAAAATGACTGTTGTCTCACAACAGAACTATAAAGTCGATCAGTAGCTCAGCTCGCAAGATAGGGACTTCCTACTTCGGACTCCAGCATAAATATCCCTCTCCGGAAGTACGAGAGTGATGAGTCCAGACCATTATTCCTTGTAGCTTTGACCCCTGGATCAGCGGACAAAGTACGCATACCTATCTCCAGGATGTTTGTGCTCGGTGTCCCCTTAGATAGGTAAATAGATGACCCCAGCTCCCCTGGAGGATGAATCCGAACGAGATGACCTCATTCCAACACTCTTTTGAGCATCCAGGCCAGTCCATTCTCTTCCTAAGATGGCTAGTAGAACAGGTGACCAAAATGGCATGCACTGTCAGCAGAACCAAGTGGGTCGACACCACCATTACACTCGGGATCAGAGGAGGAAAAAAGAGGTTTAAAAGCCCAAGATATCTCCCGGTAGTATGCATGCCCTACAGTAGTACGGGGCCCCCTCCTCTGCCATGGCTGACCCAGTGCCCCCCTGGTCGCCCGCACGGGGATGGGGTTGTCTGAAACACAGAACAGGGATTAGCCTCAGCAAGGCAGCCCGTATTGGCCAGTTGCAGTCCGGGTCGGGGACTAAAGTCTGACTCTGGTTAAGATGGGCGAAGACTCAGCGCTTAGGCGGGCATGTAAGGTAATGCATGGTAATGATGCAGGTTGCATCTCACTAGCGGTATCATTAGGCTATCTCAGACCTGCCTGCGAGCGGCTTCAATGCGCGCGCGGTTGCAATGTTTTCTTCAAGGCTGCCATGCCGTGTCCCCATCGTGAAGGTCCGGATTGAATCCGGAATCTTGCATGAAATCTCCAAAAATCGAAGCCGCCCGTTGCATCCAGGCGTGTGATGAGTGTGATGGGGGAAGGTCATCAAGGCAGACAATGAGGCGCAGCGCTAAGTCATGGTCATGTGAAGGAAGAGCCTTTGCGTTCCGGGGGGTAATTTCTGGGTTAGCAGGCATCGTACTTCGTATACAGTCTTGAATGGATGCAGATGCAGGTAGTGGTTAGTAGTAGACCGCGCAGGAGAGTTAAGTTTAGTTAGTTGGCTAGTTAACGTAGTTACTCGTCCCGCTTATCTCATCGCCCATATGACCCGAGGCTAAGCATGATGTATCTGATAGTAGTGGGGAGATTCTTCACTACCAACTACTATCGATAGGTAACTAGTCAAACAATATTCTTCTAGTTCGACTCTACATTGTTCCAGCAGTGCCCCTAGTTTCAATAAATTCTCCGCCCATTATGTCATGGTGGTTCTGCAGAAACTTCGCCACAGTGATGTGGCTCAAACTGACAGCAGCGACGGGTGAGGCGCAGCAATCGGCCATCGCCGACACCGCCGTCAGTCAACTCACGTCTTGTCCACCAACGGGGCTTTTCCTGTTGCCTGCCTGCATCCTGCATATCCTTGCTTGCCTACTCTCTGCTGCTTCATTTCTTTTTTTATACCTTTTTGCCGTCTCTCTATTTGCCCCCATGAGGCGATCCATGCCTCTTTTCTTGACTCCAGCCTTGCTAAGTATGTATAGGCTAGGGTCCACGATATGTCATAGTGCGGGCCATAACGGTCGTTCCAGCATTCCGCATCCAATCTGATGGGTCGCATGGTCTCTAGTGCACAGCTGACGACGCGCTGGTTGCTTATGCCGCATTCTTACGCCAGACTGACTACCTTGCCATCTGGTGCCCGGAACCGACTCCAGCCGACACAGCGATGCGCTCTGCCATTGTTTCCTCTCGTGCCTCCATCCACCCAATCTCTTCCCATGCCTGGTGAGTGTACTCCGCTTTGATTGAGTCCACTGCTGGGCGCGTGCTGAGACCGAAGTTTAGCATCGTCTTGCCTCACCCATTGACCCCAGGCACTGCCGCTTTTTGGTTGATGCTCCGGCCCTGGTTGGGTTGATGCCGTCCGAGGAGGGTCGTGCAATGTCGGCTAGGGGATGACATGACCGCATCTATGGATGAACTTTTTTTTTCATCTCCATTTCAGCCAGTCCCGGTGTCGCCGGGCGCCCACTACCCCTAAATACCAGGCTTGTGCATTGGCTTGCCACAGATCCATGTGCTCGGAGTTTGTGCCTGGTCATGGTAATATCTCCAGATCCCGGTGTCTTCTGGATGATACGAGCACAAGCCAGGGCTCTCAGTCAGCCAACCGTGAAGCAGCGGGTGGGCGTGCAGACTAGCGACAAGTTCTACACATTAGGGTAGTTCAGGGCAACGCGAGAAGCGCATGCATGCAGATCGGGGGGAGGTTCGACGGGAGAAATCCCCTTTTCGCTCCCTTTGTGCTGCGTGTAATAACGAAGTATCATTTCTTACGAGGAGGCCTCCCGTCCGACTGACTTCCCATTCGAGAAAGTCTGGAGATGACCGTCGACGAAGCCCAGTCCAATGGTAGATCGTAGCAGGGATCTCAGCTGCGGCGTATGAGCCGGACTGTGAGGGTGTCAGCGAATCTGAGGCCAGAAGAGACCTTGTACCAACTTCCAAGGACATTTAGCTCGCCCCACGATGCCCTCAACCCCTCCATGATTCATCAGCTGAGTCTGAGGTCTTTTTCCCTCCGCTACCCGAAGAGGATTAGGGGATCCGAATAATGTTGTGGATTACAACGACCAGGCCGAGTTAGTTTCACGTTGCCCTTTCCCCATTGCGTGCTGCGTCCATGTTTCGATCAGGGCTTACTTGGAGGAGAGAAGTTCCTCCTATCACAAGTTTATCTTAGCGTTTGTTCTCTCCAATGTTGCAAGAAACATAGAATAAGAGCGATAAGAAGTAGTGCAGTGTGCCGCACAACAATACGCAGCAGGCAGACAGTATCCGTTGGGTCACAATCTTTGGAACCGAGTCGGTGCGACAGCGTACTGGTGGCCAGCGCTTTGTGGACCCTCCTGAACCTTTGGTTGATAAAGCGTGGGATCTCGGGTAGATTATCTGGTTCCTCTACACTTGATCCGGAAAGACCCTCTGTAGTAGTAGTAGTAGTTATTGTTGTTATGTGGTATGTGGTGCTATTGAAGGCATATTCTTTCTACTATGTACACGGCCGACTCCAACGCGCTGCTACTGTGAGTCATGCAGCAAGCAAATGTGGGTTCTATTGTGCTTTTGCCGCGGGCAGCGGTCTCCATAACTCGTTGCGCGCAAAACTTGAGCGCGCGGGGGATTTACTCTTTCCAGTGGAAGATGAAGTTATGATGATACAGTCTTATTTGTCTTGTGCTTTTTCGTGTCTATGAGTTATGGTTAACTTTCTCCTTTTTGTCCCGTGACTTAATACACTTGTTGGTTAATAAGCCACCCATTTTAACAAATTTAGTGAAAAATGCCCTCTTTGGGGTATTTTAAGAGTGAAACTAAACCAGATTCCTTCTCAAAAACCCACCATGAGAGGGCCGAACAACCTACCATAAGCAGCGGTTTACTAGGCAGATGTTCTTCCCAGCTGAAGTTGGGATCCACCAGGTGGCGGAATGGGCGCCGGCTGCTATTGTCTTACTCGATTGGGTATTAGAATTTCCAGGGCAATCGGGTGATCTTCACAAACCAGGATAATGGTGGGGGGTTCAGCGAGAATATTCACCACGTTCTTTTCATTTACGACAGCATTCAGATCCATGGGGTCTGAACGTAGAGGACAGCATTCAGGATGACTGCTGAAACAATGATGTCTGTGAAGGCAACAGAGCAGAATCAGATAAATCGACCCGACCAGTCAATTCTGCCGACCAAGGACCGTTTTCCAGGAGCCGAGAGAGATGCATCCGTGCATGCATACACTCCAACCCTCCATCCATCCGGAAGTGGATCAGCCATCGGGGCTTAGCCAGCCCTCTTGGTCATTGCAATTGGCATCGCCGTGCCCTGTCTACCTGCACGCCGGACTGAAATGCATACTGTCTTCTGCAGCGCCTCCCACTTTTCCCAGCTGCTGTTGCTGCCGCCCCAGACGGCTCATGCACCATGCATTTTCTCCCTTTACGTTTCTCCCTCTCCAGTGTAACGTCCAACTTCTTTCTAACTCATATGCGTGAACGGGATGTCAGACCTGACGGTCCGTCCGACCGTCAGTCTGGGTCGTGCCTGTGACACCCAGACGAGGGTCTAGTCCGACCTCTTATTCCCACCGTCGCACTCTGTAATGTCCAGAGCAGTCCAGACACGATCCCAATTTCCGCAGGGGAAAAAAATAGGAGTTTATGACCAAAGGGAACAATCAAATGAAGAAATACACGCAACACAATCTATGAGGAAAAAAGTAAAAAAAAGGTAAAGGGGTGGGAAAAAAGCACCTAGGCCCGGGAGCAATTCCAACAATACTACTACTTACTACTACCACTACTTACTTAGCTTTTGTGCTGTCCCTCCCACGCGATTCGACCGCCGAGGAACCATCCGAAACCCTCCAAACCAGGTCGTAATGCCGCCAGGGAACGACGGGCGCCTTGGTCGAACTTTCTTGCGATGCCGCCAAAGAGTTGTTTGGAACATTTCCTCGTCTTTTTGTTCCCGGTATTGTTTAGGAGGGGTAGATAAACTAAGGGGGGGGGGGGGGGGGGGGGGGTGGAAAGAAAGAGGATAATACTAACTAGACTAAGCGCCTGTTGACCCAAACTTATCCCGTATTTAGGTACAATGTGTGTGAGTTGAGTGAGAGTGTCCACCCTACACAGATTTTGTAGTGGTATCTACTTAGTTAGTGTGCCATACACACTAACATATGCTACCTACCCGCCCCGATCGTAGTGTGGTCTAAGTTGGCCCCATTTCTTGACTCAGGTGTGGGAAAAAGAGACGGTAGTTAGGGAATCTCTTAGCAATGACATCTTTGGATCGACCACGCCAGGACTGGTCGGGTGTCTCCACCACCGACGACACTTCTGGACGCCTGCATCCTGCTAAACCCAGCCCGAAGGGGAACAGACCTGACGCCGCTGCTGCTGCTGCGCACCTGAGATCGGACGGTCAATCCGGACGGTGGCCAATTTTTTTTCTCTCGTACCATACGATCGGGATTCCGCGTCTGCATGAGAGAGGAAAAAAAAAATCCTCACCTCTAAAAAAAGGAGGAAAAACGAGAGTACTAAATGGAAAAAGGAAAAATATCGGAAAACAAGTGAAAGAATGAGGGGAAAAGATTAAGAAAAAATAATTAAAATTTTTATAATGGGAAATTGAAATTCGCCGGTCTGCGCTATTGGAGACATTTTCCCCAACTCCAAGGCAAAAGCTGGATGGGTAAATGTAGTGCGCGCGTGTTGTGTGTGTGTGCGTGGGTGTGTGTATGGATATGGGTATGTATCAGTGTGTATGCTGCTGGATTTTACAGTTGGGATTTGGATCTGATTTTTTTTTTTTTATTATTATTTTTTATGGAGTGACCTCTATAATGTTATATTGATCACCTTTGATCTCTCTCTTATTCTCTTAATATTTATCCATCAACATCTCTTTTCTTTTTGATCTGACAGTCAAAGCCAACGTTTCTTGACAGTGGTTGACAGATCTGCCCTTCTCACCTCATTTGGCGGCTGTATAAATCCGCTCGGAACCACAGTTTTGGCTGCTGCTACTGCTGCTCCTCCCCCCTCTTCATACAGTACTGCCTCTTACTGTATCCATCCTGCATCCCATCCGATCCATCCATCAACTCGCTCAGTTGACTTTTACCTCCATTAAGGATTGACTGATCCATCCCGAAAAGTTGGTCGGGACTCTTGCTTTCCCTTTTGGGTCACCCTCGCCCCTCTCCTCTTTTTCCCTCTCTTCTCCTCTTTCTTCTGCTTCCTGCTGCTTTTCCTCCTCTTTTGTCTCTCTCATTCCCCCGTTTGTCCCCGCCTCGCTCTTTTTCTTTTCTTCCTCCCCTCTTCTGCCGCTCGTCTGGTCCTATTTCTTTTTGGTTGATTTTATTTTAAACCATTTTGCTTATCATCGTTGCCATTCCTTTCTTTTACCCTCACTTCTATTGCGCATTCGCCCACACACACAAACAGTAATTTTGACCTATACAACCCTCTTCCTCCACCACTACTACTACTACTACTCAAGTAGTACTGCTTTCCACTCCACTCCCGGTTCCTGACGGTGGGGATTTTAATATATACTACCAACCTCCTCCCTCCGGGCAGGCAACCTTCCTTCCGACTTCTTTCTAGTCTTTCCGCGCTGCCCCTACACGCCTCGGTCCTCGTGACTTCAAGTTACTTTGCCGTCACGCTTCGGACCGTATCGGGATATATCACTCGCTGTGGGCGAATGTCGCCTCTATGCTCTTTTTCCACCCTATCTTATCTCTCTCTTTACTGATCCGCCCTTCATTTTTGCGTTCATTTGTCGTCAAGTATAGCACCGTCTTTGCTCGTCACTGCGCAGTCTAATTATGCCAACCGTCTTGCTGCCCTCGTCGGCAGCCGCATTCGCTCCACGCTCGTCGCCGAACGTGGTGTTGAATGCGCGCATCGAACCCTGGCTGACTGCCACCCTCAAAAGAGTGAATCGAGTCAAGCGACCCCTTAACAATGTTACCCAGCATACCAGATGCCTTACGGAGACGCTGTCATCCCCCGACGCCATCTGGACGCTGTGCTCTCTGATGTTTCCCAAGGCCCCCGATGCGGAACTCAAGAAAGACGACAATCCCCTCGTTGAGGCCATGTGCAACTACCAGATGGTCCACATCGAAGCGTACGTCGTGCATGTCGACATGGTTTCGCAGAACGAAGTCGCCTTTAAATTGACTCCGGAGACCATCGAGGCTCTCGTCGACTACCACAAGGATGTCTATTCCGTCGACACGGCTGCCAGCACTTGGGACTGGTCCGACAAGGATAGTCAGCTGAAGAAGCTGCAGGAGGAATTCGTGCAAGCCGTCAACAAGTTTGTCTATCGCACAGAGGCACTCGCGCTGGAAGGGCTCGAGGAGGATGGCGCAGGCGAACTGCTTGGCGGCCGCAGCGATGACGCGAAGGCGGCGATAACCAGTCTCTTCGTGCCTCTACTTCCCCCGCCGCCACGTGTAGTTGACGTCCTCCGCTCGACCCCTATCCTTCCCAGCTCGACCGTACCGGGAACCTGGTGGCAGGAGCCGATGCCACAAACACTGCCTTTGGAGTCGTGGAAGGTCCTCCCATCCAGCCCCGCAACAACCAGCACTGGCGAGCCGAACGCTGGTATGTGGGCAACCATGAACGGCATGGGAGAAGCGCAGCTTACTTCCCCAACGTTCAGCCAGCCATATACCACTTCACCATACAATGCGACACAATACTACAGCACAGCGGCGACGTCGGCGACCATCGCGGCGCTCCCGCTGCCGAGCATGCTAGTGCAACCGTGCAGCACAGTGGCTGGTCTGGCGGGGTTTGGATGGGAGAACCGGTACCAAGATTTTACACTGCCATACGGGACAACAATGTAACAGGTCCATGGAACCAGACACTTGATGTTAACGGTATCCCTGACTTCGCGTGTCTTTGGAATAGATCCGAGGATCCGTACCGACAATATGACTACGGCTCCATGCCACCGGGGCCCGCGTATACACAGTCACGAGAACGACCGGGGTCCTATCCCCACGGATACCCTCATCAGACTAATTGGCATCAATGACGGCGTTACCCTTGATGATTTGCGAAACACATGATACACCCTCACGTCTTTGCATTGGTTTTCTTATCTCTTTTCGATATTCGATGACACCAGTCTTCACCACAAGTGCCCTGTTCTTTTCGTTTGCCTTTGACAGCGCTAGCGTTTTGTTTGATTTTCGTTCTATAGCATCAAGAGCGGCGGGTCGGCTGTTTGTTCTGATTTTTGGGGATGCCCCCTTTCAATCCCGCATTATATGTCATGAAGACCTGGTTAGCCTCGCGGCTTGGGATATGATTTGGATGAGGAATGTTCGCCCTTCGTTTCGTGTCGCGGAGTCAGGAGGGCTACTGTGCTGTGCATGGTGGTCGTCCTGACGACATCGTCTGCTGGGTACAGGTACCCATTGATGGCAGAGGTGGCTAGCGACTGCTGTGGCTATCTACATCTGGGATGTGATGGCTGCAGAGTTTTACAGCACAAATGATGTGGCGCAGGTAGCCCCGGGGCGTCTCTGATCTGAAGATCCGCCTGTGGCGGACCTGATCGGGTTTGCAACTAATGGTCCGTGACCGTCAGTGGAACCTTACGAGACTAACTTGGGCTCACTGTCCCATCAATGTGGCTGTCCGGTAGGTTCATCTCCTATCATCCAGGCTGGGTTTGAAATTACCTGGATACGCCCGTTCACATCCTCACTGGTGAGACTGTGGGCGGGAATCGGATGCTGGAGGGCTGCGCCCAGTCTTCTTTGGATCTTCGTTCTTTATTCTAAGCATTACTACCATCTTTTTTGAATTAGTTGGCACGATGTACCTAGTCTGACATAATGGACCACAAGACGATCGGCACTGCGCAGTAGACAGGATGTAGAGTAAGGCGTAGAATAGTAAACTCTGATCTCATGGCTGCCAGGGGAGAGACGGACCTTGCTGGATTCATCGGCAAGAACGGTCTTTTTGTGCCCCGGACCGGTGACGTCAGAGCCCGAACTCCGCAACACCACCAGAACCGGAGGTACGATTCATTATCTTCCTCTGACGATGAACTTCTGCTCTTGATCGGATTAGCTTCTAATGGGTATTCTGGTTTCTTATATTATTCTATTTTATGTCTGCCTGGTTGCCTAAGTCCTCCTGTGACATACCCTCCTCCTATTGCCTCCGCCGGGAGTCTCCTCTTTCAGTCTTACAATCATCATTATCATCATCATCATCACCACCACCACTTCAATAACTCCTACTTACACACCACCTCACCACCAGTGAACAACAAACTTCCATAAATTCAGAAACAAATATAATTCATTTATACTCTACATGACCCACCAACGTCAAATCACACCACATACACCACGATTGAACCGACCCGACCCGACCCGACCCGAATTACAAGCATAAGTCGATAGAAAGAAAGAAAATGACCCTCCCCACGCTCCAAGAATCCCTGGAATCCCTCTCCCCCACCACCTGGACCGACGTCCCGAGCACCGACCCCGCCGCCCTACGAGCCTACATCACCGACCTCCGCACAAAAGCGCACCTGATCGTCGATTCCGTGCCGTTGCCTTCAGACGACGATATCCAAGCGCAGCAGGCCGCGTACGGCGGACATCCAGCGAGCAAGGTAGTTCGGGCGAGCGGCGCAGTTCCTGTGCATGATCTGGTGGATCACGATAACGGGAATAATGGCGATAGCAGTAGCGGTAGCGGTAGCGGGAGTGGGAAAAGCAACAATAATGGGAAAGGAGGCGGGGTGCAAGCACTTCGGAAACAATGGAGCAAGCCGATACGAGTGACCAATTCTCGGGATAACCCGTTGCAGATCCCGATATATAAGTTGCAGGGGGGAGATGGGAAGGGACATTGGTTCGGGAGGCGGAGCGTGCATGAGGGGTTAGGGTTTGAGCGGTGGAGGGAGAAGTTGTCGGGCGAGATGGGGGAGACGTTGAGGAGGAATCAGGAACGGGTGAGGAAGGGGAAGATGCCGGATCAGGCGGTTAGGGGGATTGGGGCGGAGAGGTTGGTTGAGGGGGTGGAGGTTATGGGTGGTGGTGATGGTGGGGATGGGGATGGGGATGGGGTGATTGGTAGGGTGCAGGTGTATCATGTTTCGGCGCAGTTTCCGAAACCTACGACTGCAAGGGATTTTGTGAGTTTGATTGTGTCTTGGGATGATAGTGAGGGTGAAGAGGAGAAACGGAAGCAGGAAGGGAAGGGGAGGGAGTGGATGATGGTGTCGAGACCGTGCGAGCATGATGAGGTGCCTCCGGTGCCGGGGTATATTCGGGGTATGTATGAGAGTGTGGAGTTTATTCGGGAGATACCTGTGGAGGGTAAGCCTGAGGGGGCGATGAATCCGGTTGAATGGGTGATGGTGACGAGGAGTGATCCGGGTGGTAATATCCCCAGATGGATGGTGGAGAAGGGCACTCCCAAGAGCATCTGTACGGATGCTGTCAAGTTCTTGAATTGGGCTTGTCGGGACGGGGAGAGGAAGAGGAGGTCCACGGACAGGTCGGTGGGCAGTCATAGTCAGTATGATGAGGAGGAGGATGCGTCCAGCAGTGAGGAGGACAGTGACGACGAGTCATACACTGAAGTCGAACATCACGGGTTGATTGCCAGCTTCGCATACCTGGTGAACGCAGGTCTGGAGCGGTATGCGCCGCAGACAGTGCTGGACTACCTACCGCAGCACTCACGCCAGGTCTCTGCCCAGAGTGTCCCTGCCAGCAGCACGGAGCCAGATGTCGAGGGGGTTAAGGAGCACGAAGAGGATGCTGTATCGCACGACAAAGCATCGATAGCACCATCAGCAAACTCGGGCGTCGAATCATCACTGGAAGCAGGCCCCGACGTATCCGCGCTGGAGCTAATGGCCAAGAACAAGAAAGGCAAGCTGACCTCGCACGAGAAGCAGCTGGCAAAGCTAGCAGAACGCAAACGCAACGTCGAAGCACAGCTGGATAAAGTACGAGCCGACATCCAAGCCCTCCGCGTGACCTCACCAGTCGAAGGTTCCAAGCGCGACAAGATGTCCACGACCGCTCTAGCAGCTACGAACGAGCAAGCCAGCAGCGAACCGCCAAGCAGCAGTCCAGCCAGCAGCATGCACAAAGGCCAAACGTCAAGCAAGAGCCGTCATGCCGAGAATCCCGACCATGAAACGGCAAAGATGCACAAGGTTGCGTCGGGGCTGTTCCACGACGAGTCCAAGCTGCTGAAACAGCTCGGCAAGATCGAGAAAGACCAGGTCAAGGAAGCATCGAAGATCGAGGCGCGGCAGCAGAAGCACGCAGACAAGCAGGAGAAGCATCGCTCGCGGGCAGAGACGGAGGCGTTGCGCCGCGAGGTGGAGGTGCTCAAGAAGGAGGTGCATCGATTGCGCGGAGAGCGCAAGCAATGGCTGGATTTGATCGGGTCATTGCAGAATGAGAATACGCGGTTGGCAGCGGCGCAGGGGGGTGGAAATGACAAGGGAGAAATTAGCATGTAATGTAATTGTATATTAGCGTAGCGTTGTGCATGAGATAATTGATTGATATTATCTCATCTTATCCATATCCTTAACATAATGTAATGCATGAAACCTCCACGCCAACGCCATTAACCCACCATTGAACTCCAGTAGTATGCAAGTGTCCGTAGCAGATGCATCTGCATGACACAATCCCACCATCCATCATCTATCCCATTCCACAATATCCCATCATCATCATCAAACACTCAACTCCTTCATATCATCTCATCTCACCCAATCCTCAAACCCCACCACCAATCACTCTATGAGCAGTAGTAATAGATTATTCCTGCGTCTAAACACCATATCATCAGCCCTATCCCTACCCCCATCCACAAACAAAGAAAAGAAAAGAAAAGAAAAGAATGAACCAACCTCCGGCGGATTCCCCGCGCCTCTAACCATCTTCTCAATCATCGCCGCGCGAACCTTTTCCTTCGACTCGCCCATTCCCAACGCCATATACGACAACATAGGCGGATGACCAATATACGAGGCGTAGCTATCCCGGACAATGTTCGATACCCATTCGTATTTCGTCGTGTCGGCGTGGCCAGTACCGATGTACCGCGCTTGCATCGCCTCGAGGTTTTGGATCGTGCGGAGTTTGTCGGCCATTTTGATTGATTATCCCTTTCTTCTTGGTTTTGGTTGGTTAATTGTGGTTGTGGTGGAGTGGAGTGGAGTGTGGGTTTGAGTTGGAAGGTAGTTGAAATGCGGTATATTGATGAAGTTAGTTGTTGGACATGGATAAGAATACTGATGACAAGTCACGTGACGCTCACCCACTTGATATAAAAGTGGGTTGGCAGTGCAGAGTTAGGTATGTTCATGCATAACTACAGCATGCATTAACTAAACGGTATATCGTAATGGAACGACAAAAAGGAAAGGATCCTGGGGATGATGCACTTGCAGAGAGAATTGCAAGAGTTGTACACGCGCACTTTGATGCTTTGCCCGCACGCAGTAAACCTATTCTGAGGGATGACGGGACGAGGGAGTGGATTCCTATGTGTGGGGTTGTGGTTGTGAGGGGTTTGTATATTCTTTTCTCTGCTGGATTTTTATGGTTAGGCATTGTTGTGTAGTATGCTTACAATATGTTGGTGTAGATAATGATGATGATATATCGGAGGAAGAATTGACCTGTGTGGCTGTCACGTATGTTCACCAACCACTACCTACCCTATATAAATTACACCACGAACACATTATTTATAAGTAAATACTAAAGCATGATCCAGCTCCGGCGCAAAATGCCTCCCTACTACACAACTCGCATCCAGCATCGGCCTCGTCCTCCACGACTGGCACGCCGAGATCCTGGCCCTCCGCGCATTCAACTACTGGCTGTTCAGTGAGATTCGCGCATTAATAGACCATGAACATCAACATCAACATCAACATCAACATCAACAATCTTCATCTACATCCAATCCCTCCCCCTTCATCCGCCGGCGCCAACAATCCCCAAACAAGAATAACAACAACGAACCACCCTTCGAACTCCACCCCTTACTAAAAATCTACCTCTACTGCACGACCGCCCCCTGCGGCGACGCAAGCATGGAACTCACCATGGCAGCGCAAGACGACCCGACACCATGGGAAATTACCCCCTCAGAAGAGGAATCAGCATCGGCAGGCCTCCTCTCCGGCCGCGCCAACTTCTCCCAGCTAGGCATCGTCCGCCGCAAGCCCGCGCGCGCAGACGCCCCATCCACGAAAAGCAAGTCCTGCTCGGACAAACTTGCCCTGCGACAGGTATCGTCTCTCTTGTCGAGGGGTATGAGTTTGCTGGTGGCTGTTACGGAGAATGCGTATCTGGCGGGGGTGGTGATGCCCCGTGAGGAGGTGAGTGAGACGGGGTGTGTGAGGGCTTGGGGGGTGGAAGGGAGGATGGGGCCTTTGATATCGAGGTTTGAAGAAGGAGGAGGTGGTGGTGGGTATGGGTATGGGTATCATCCGTTCCGGGTTCTCTCTGTTGATATGGAGGTGGTGGAGGAGTTGTGGGCGTTTGGGAAACCGAAGAGTAAGGAGGATGGCATGAAGTGTAAGCCGGGGAATATCTCGGCTGTTTGGACGGCTGCGCCGGTGCTTGGGGGGAGTAATAAAGGTGGTGGTGGTGGGGTGGATCGCTATGCGGCGGAGAATGGGGCAAAGCAGTTGCCGAAATTGAGTGGTTCGTGGACCGGGTTGTATGAGACGATCATTGGGGGGATGAAGCAGGGGTATAAGGCGTCGGTGCCGGTGGGGAAGGGCGCGTCGGCGCTGTCGAGGGCGAAGATGTGGGGGCGTTGAGGGGGGTGTTGGGTGGTGGTGATGGTGATAATTCTGAGGGCGGAGATGGAGGGCAGGTGGTTAGGGCAGCGTCGTATAAGGAGTTCAAGAGGGCTGCACTGGAGACGTCTGTGGGAAAGGCACGGGAATATGCTATGCTGGAGGCCAAAAAGGTGCTGGTGCCGTGGGTGCCGAATGATGGGGATGATGAATGGGGGTTGGAGGTATTGGTGGATCAGAAAGGAAAGAAGAGAAAGCGTGATGACATAAAAAAGAATAAGGATGTCCAGTCTAGCTAATACATGTCATGTCCGATATGTGACTCGTTCAGACGAATAGTATCATACATTAAGAGCTTTTGTTCGGTCTACACCCATTACTTTCAGTAAATGCCAGGAATGATCCGGCTCCGGACCAACGACGTATACCGGTCCCAGTCGGCTCCGTACTTGCGCTTGCACTTCTCCTCGTCGCGCTGCTCGCGGTGGATTAGCAGCGTGCCAAAGTACACCAGGAAGAAGTACGTGAAGATCATTCCCCAGCCCCGGCTCTCGGGGGTCTGAACGGCCTGCTTCTGCAGGTCCCCGGTGGCCGGGTTGATGCTGTGGACGATGGCGTAGCCGGCAATGCCCGTAGGCAGACAGTACGACCACGACATGACCCAGTCGCCCAGGTAGTTGATGTGGCGGGCGCTTCCCCACCAGCCAGACGTGATCAGCTTGGAGCCGCTGGCCGTCTGGATGTACTTGAGGTGCTTGACGCGAGGGTCGTTCGGGTTGGTGCGGAAACGGTTCTTCTGGTTGTTGGCGCCCCGGAAGATCGAGTAGCCAACGGCAGTAACAGCCAGAACGAGCAGGATGCCATTAAAGCCCAGCTCGTACGGGAAGACGGCCAGGTAGCGGGTCTGGAAGTTGTAGATAAACGGCACCCAGACGAGGTCGCCAAACGAGAGCATGAATCCGAAGCCGTCCATGATGATGTCCATTGTAGTCAGCAGGGCAGGCTCCATGTACAGGCCGTCCAGGACATAGAACGCCTGGAAAGCAGTCGAGATGACGATCGAGTCCGTGATGTAGCCGTAGGTGCGGTACTGGCGGGCAATGTTCGACAGGTTCAGGATGATCCACCCCAGCAAGCCGGGGCGCATTTCGAGCCAGGACTTAATGTCGATTGTGCGCGAAGCTTCACTGACAAAGGGAATCGGCAGGCGTACCCGGGGGTTCAGCTCTCTGCCAATGAAGAAATCATACAACGCGTTGCCAGTGTGACCACCCGGAGCTAGCTGGCGGAGCTCGGGGTTGGGCTGCCCGGGAGCCGGAACGGTGAAGCTCTTCGCATAGACGAAGATGGCGATGACAGTGCAAATCACCAGATTGGCGGTGATAACCTGCAAGTAATTGTCCCAGAGGAAGGTCCAGACAGCAAAGTCCGCGCCATAGACGTAGGTGCCCGTCGCACAGCCGGAGAGGATCAGGACGGCCGACAGAAAAGCTGCACAGGATGTTAGAGAGGCAGATACGAGTCAATTGAAAAAACCAACCGTTGAACTTGTAGGGCAATCTTCCTCCACATGCCAATTCTGTGCCCTCGACCTCCTGGCCAGGCAGGAACACATACATGGCCAAGCTAAGCAGATAGTAGCCCAGTACCCAAAGTGTCACGCTTGTATCGTAGAAGTCCGCAAACCCTCCCTTGGGCCAGCCAACCTCTGCCTTCAATTGGTCAAGCGTCACGGTAGAGGGGTGTAGTAGCGAAGGAGCCGGGCAGCCGGAGACATCGTTACACAGGAAGGTGAAGCTGTAAACCAGCACGGGCAGACCAAACACTATCCCAAACGCACCGAGACTGTGGGGTCAGTATGCAATTGCCAATTGTAACAGAGCATTAAACACCTACGGTCCTCCGAATTCATAGCCACGTTTCTCTGGAACGGGCTGAACCCGGACCTTGGTCTTAGAGTCCTTCTTGGGAGCCATGACGGTTTATACTGGATCTTGATATGGAGATTAAGGAGAAACTGGAGAAGAAGCCGCGGGACTTTTGGCAGAAGCGGAGCCGACGATGCGGGCGGTGAGAAGCTCTCGATGGAATCTCCGCAAGAAATGCGACGTTTCATCTCCGCGCATTACGACGCCTGCTTCATCTGCTGCTCCTCCTTGTCCTTCCCCTCTTTTCTCTCGCTTCTTCTTCTTCTTCTCTTTATCTTTTTGGTCTCTCCTTTGCTTTGCCCTTCTTCGACCTTCCCAAACTTACCGATCAGTCCCTACTTCCAGCTTCCTGATCCATCCTCGTTCCCTTCCTCGGCTTAGAACCGTTATCGCCGACCGTCCCGGCTGCCTCCACCGGAGATCATCTTCCCACCATGAAGCCACCCACATCCTCCTTGCTGAGGTTCCTCTTCCTCCTGGCTGCTCCGCTTGTCTCTCAGGCTGCCTCCGATTCCTCTGCTCCGAAGGATGCCCTCTCTCCCTGCGTCGTTCGCTCTCCCACGACCGGCCTATTCTACGATCTCAACACCCTCTCCTTATCTCCGCCTCCAGTAGACGGGGACAAACCTCGCAAAGGCGCCCGGGACGAGAGTTGGCACGCCAGAGGACACGACTACAATGCCAACTTTACGTTAAATATCTGTGCGCCCGTGGTCGAAGATATCAAGGATGTGGTGGGAGTAGACCGCGCAAGGTGGAGGAATGTTAGCGCCTACTACGAGAAGGAGGGTAAAGTCTACTCCATTGGGTACGGTGACACTATTCTTCTTTACCACCTGCTATAATCACTCAACTGACACGGTGTAGTCAACAAGCATCAGATCCCTTCTTCCGCGGCCGAAAGCTGGTTATGAACTATACCAATGGCTCCCCTTGTGCCGGCGACTACATCGGAAATGCCGCCCGCACCAAATCCACCCTCATGTCGTTCCTTTGTGAGCGCGATACCCCTGCCTCTCAGGCGACAGTCTCCTTTGTCGGCACCATGGACCAGTGCACATACTTTTTCGAGATTCGAAGCTCTGCCGCTTGTGGCGCGACCGCGCCCACACCGGATAACCCGGGTCTTTCGCCAGCCGGCGTTTTCGGCGTAATGTAAGTGAAGAACAATCTAATATGGGACCGATAACTGATAAGCATAGTGCCTTGATTGCCGTGGCGGCCTACCTGGTCGGTGGTTGCGCATACCAACGAACTGTCATGCACCAGCGCGGTTGGAGACAGTGCCCGAACTACAGTCTTTGGGCGGGAATGCTCGACTTCATCAAAGTAAGTATACTGGCGTTAATCCCGTTCCGACGGTCCTGGCGGCACGAGCAGGCCCCGTACAAGGAGTTTGGCAATGCAAGGTTACCTGTTTCGAGGATGGATTGAATCTGCTTTGGCTGGTCTGGAGCTCAATTACATCAGGCGTGCTTGCCATTCGTCTTTCCTTACG